ACAAGGGAACACCCATCAGAATTACAACAGACTTCTCGGCACACACCATCAAATCACGAAAAGCATGGAGGGAAATAATTCAGACTTTGAAAGATAATAACCTCCAGCCAAGATTGATCTATCCTGCACAACTATCCCTGGAAATTGATGGAAAAGCAAGGTGCTTGCAGGATAAAGAGGAACTAGGGAAATATGCAACCACCAATTCAACTCTACAGAGAATACTGCAGGATATTCTCAAAAATACACAGATTCCAGAAATAGTGGCAGAGAGGCCACAATGAATGGAGCAGAAAGCAAAATGAAGACAAACTGACAACTAATGACAGAAAAAGAGCTCAACAGAAATGAGGCAGTGAAGATTGGATGATAGGAATAGCTATTTTGGAGAAAACGACATCATAATAGGTAATGCTGAGTTAATATCATCTTGTTTTGAAGTCCCATCAAGCTTTTGTCCTTCTGTCTCCATAGGTCTTAACATGTTGTATCTTACTGGATTTTATTATATGTGATAGTATAAACAAAAACTTTTATAGACAAGGAGATTATACAGAAACCATTGTTCATTTTCTATTAGTTGATTATAAATACCCTGCAATACTGTCATTCTCTTGAATGGTTTTACATTGTTTTGATATATTTGATGCTACAGTATACGAAGTTATACTCAAAGATTTCAAGGAAAGAGACAATATGGTAACTACTTGTATGTTGGGATTATCTTGTGGTGAAACACTATTTTACTTAAATGGTTATGTTTTGATCTGCACTGTTTTGTTGTTATGTCCTCTTTTATCTCAATCTCCATTTTATTATTTACTTTTTTATTTTTATCCTTCTAATTAAGGGGAAAAGAAATGAAAAATAGCAGTATATATTATAGTAACCCACTTTGATTTTCTATTAATTTGATTTGAAGCCCTGTATTGCTCTCACCATCTTGTTTTGACTGATGTTCCTCTATTCTGTTTTGCTTGATAGTACCAGGTTTGAAAGTTTAGGCAACAGTGGTAAAGATAGTGGGATTCATTATGATGCCCATTCTGGTTGACTATTATCTACTTTTGAAGACCTGTAATGTCTCCCATGTTTTGGTTTTGTTGGTTTCATTCTTTACTGTTTTGTTCAATTTTATTATAACTGATGATATAGGTAATTCTATTTGAGATAGCGGGAGGCATTATGGTAACCATTGTTGATCACCTTTTATTATGTTTTTACATTATCTATTGTGTCCACCCTTTTGATTTGACCAACTCTGTTCTGTTATGTCACATTTGGTTTTACTCTCTTCCAAAAATGTAATAAGAGCCGTGGGAGTAATAAAACCCAAAATGTGTAATAGTCATTGTACAAAAGAGAGGAAAAGAAAGGGCTCTAAGCAATATAACTGCATGTATATTTAAGTGTATAAGATAGACAATGATATTACTGAATTTTGTTGGATCATTGAACAGAACTGTTTGCAATCTCACTGTTTGAATGTCCACTTTATATGCTTTAATTTTGTAACGAACAAATATTTCTAAGATGACAATGTGTAATCCAGTAACTAGTGATTTCCTGTTTATTTTTTTTCCAAAATTCTGTATAACTTGTATCCTTTTTCTGCTTTTTTTTCTCTTTTTCTCCTTAAATAAAAAAAAAAAAAAGAAAATGTCTGTTCCCTAGAGAAGTCTTTTAGGTGTAGGGGGTTCTTGGGTCTTTGTGTCTATCCCAAGAACCTACTTTTCAAATTTATTAAGGATGAAAAGTTGCTGTTTGACTTAGTGCTCCATCCTTTGTTACTGGACTATTGTGGAAGTTGTTACTCCAAGCAATCAGTGTTGTTACATGGGGGAAAAAAACTGATTACATGTACAACATTCTGGCAAAAATAGTATAATTAATAAATATAGCATCAATTAATTAATAAAAATAATTAATAAAAATAGCATCAAGCACAGCTTACCATCTGACAGAATGTGGTAACTGTTAGTTTGTACCTCTGACCATAGAAGCAAGCTCTATAGTTTTATAACACAGTGCAGCATATATCCGGAGCTTGTATGCAATGAGTTTCTCCTTGGAAGATTGATTTTTATCCAGCTGCTGGCTCTGCGGGGCTCCTCAGGAAATACTCCCTTCCACATGAGGCTGGGTTCCCAGCCATTTTCAAAATATTATTTGAAGGCTGATTGCAAGTTTGAGCCCAAGATGCCCTCAAACTTGCCATTCTTTTGTCTCACTTTTCTGAGTTGATTGGATTACAGGCATGTGGTACCATGTCAGGTGTAAAGCTAGTTTTTAAACTGGTGGTGATAAAAGTTTCATGCCATCATTGCCCTCTGTTTTCATAATATAGTGATGGAATGCATGCTTGCTTGGTTAATCAAAGCACTGAATGACTTCGAGCTCAGGTGGGTAACATAAAGGTGCCTTTGATTCCTTGTCATGACTCGATCATTTATAATTGGTGATCTTTGGATTTCAGTAATTGCAACTTACTGTTTTGGAGACATAGTATGGCATATCATTTTGACCTATTAATGTATGTTTTAGAAATTTAATAATAGATTTTATTCTGCTGTAGCAGATATATGGAGATTCCTCTTCAGCTTGTGTAAGGACATGGCATGGCACCTAAAATTGAATCATTCTTAGACTCTAGCATGGGCAGGTATGACTGTACCTTGTTCTTCCTAGTTCCTAAGGTTTTCAGCTATTCTTTTTTTATTTATATTGTTTTGTTAATTTGATACCCATTAGAAAAGTTTGCTCTGAGGATACTCTGTCTGATCTACAGTATTTCGTTTCTTTTTCCTTTCCCTTAAGTAAAGTACATCTGACAACTGACCAGAAAAATAGATAAAAGATCTGGAGCTAGACTGTGAGAGAGACTCTGAAGTTGTTCTTGTAGATGGACCAGAATGTATTTTGAGCTGTTGTTTAACAGCAAACCACCCTAATAAAGAATCAGTCTCTATCTCTTAAACCGTTTGGATTTACTCTTTTTATAGTTAATAAGGCTTTTCCTGTATAATATAAGACCTAGTTTTGGGAACAGAGTATCTTAGTCATTTTGTCTTTGCGGGGGCAAAATAGCCAACACCCACAATTTTTACAGTAGGAAAGGTTTATTTTGGATCATGTGTTTTGAAGGATTCCATCCGTACATAGTCAGCTGGCATCAAGGCAGAAACAGCATGGCAGAAGGACCTAACCAGAAGGAAGTCACTCCTCCTGTGGCAGCCAAGGAAGCAGAGAGAGAGAAGGCAGGATCCTGAGTAAGAGACCCAAACTTTCGTGTAACTCTTCCCCCAGGCCCATGGCTCCCCTTTCTGACCAGCCCCACGTCCTAACACATTCAGGTACAAATCCATCAATAGATGAGCTTCACTGATGAGCACCTCATTCACCTCCCTTTGAAACACACGATCCTTTGCCAAGGGGTGGGGATGGGGTTCAATTTAAGCTTGAGGGGAATGTGTTTTGTGGTAGTTTGTTCTTTTTTAATTCACCTGAACTGGCTCTGTTACCTTTGTACTGTTTGTTTGTTTGTTTGTTTTTTCCATGATAGGACTACCTTTTGTTATCATCATATTTCTTTTAGATCAGAAAAGTATGCTTAAGTCTTTAAATTTTGGGGTAGTTCTAAAATTTTGTAATTCTAAAATTATGTAGCTGTGTGTTCTACTTGCTGTTACAACAGACATTTAAGTCACAATATTTTTTATAGTGTTAGTCCTTTGAGTTCTTACCTTTCACTTATTTGATCATTTTAAAATTTCTTGGTCCTTTGAAGTGCCATTTCCGCAGCCATAAGTGCATAAACAAGTTTATTCTTTCTCTTGTGAAGGTTATTCTCTTTTCCTTTGTCTCTAATCTTCTGGTCTTATAACACTTTCTACCTTAGAGTTACATAGTAATTAATATTATTTTCTAAATTTTAAATGGAATCAAACTGTTGGAATGTTTATCAGAATCAAGGAGATTATTCAGCATTTAACTCATGATTATAGAGTATAAGAATCTTTTGTAGGTAAAATGTGCCTTATACTTTCAGAAAGGCTGTGTACAATTTAGAGAGACAAAGTTCAGGCTCATGATTCTGTTTGGAAGCTGTGATTTTAATTACTTCAACGAATAAAGGTAATAAGATCATCTTCTTCATTTAACTTGGTTTACTCTCTACCACTCCTATTCTCACTTTATGCTCTAGTAATTAAAACTTTAAATCGTAAAGCCTAATATTTCTATAAGGAAAATACTAAACCTCTTTAGTTTCCCAAATAAGATACTGTCTCATTTTGTAAAGACCTGCACCTTTACAGATTCTCATTCTTTTTGGCTTAGAATTCTTTGAACTATTTACTCTAACATCAAATGGAGATCTTGTGGAAATGCAGATTCTGGTTCAGGAGAATTGTGATGGAGCCCACAGTCTGTCACATACGAGTTCTCAGAGGAGCTGATGATCTGTAGATTGTAATGTGACTTCCTGGCAGACTCACCATCATCCTGGACATTTCCTCACTTTCTTCTCCTAATTCCCATGAGTTCACCTAATTGTTCTTTCCCAATATTGTCATAATATAATATATAACCTTTTTATACTGTTATTATAATTGTTTGTAGGTTATATCTTTGCTTATTGGGAATCTTTGTGTACAGAGATGGTGTCTTTCATTCTTGTATACTATACTATTTAGCAGAAAATAGTTTTAACAGATGTTGTCAATTAGGTGGTTTTATTACAACCTATTTACAGTTACATAATCAAATATATATACTATCAAGAATGATCTTTTTAATTTTAGTATAATTTAGTATAAATAAATTATGAATGTTACTCATTTTTAGAAGGCTGTTTAAAAATCTCAAATGTGTCCTACCCGAAGGTGGGCTTTAAAGTAATGGTCCATCATTTTGAAGTCTCTATGATAGCAATATAGTATTTTTCAAGATAACTCTCTAGAAATTTTTAAGAAAAATAATGGTTTTTTTTTTCACCCAAGGAGAAATACAAATGTCTACCACAAGACGAAAACGTAATATGTTATGCTGTTTACCATAAGCTGTAGTAAAATGAGCTCGATTGTTGACAGGTACGTTTCTTTAGAGACTTTAAAAGTGTTTTAATTGTATAAAACTATTTGGACATTTACTGTTAGAATAATGGTCCATATCAGATTGGCATGATTTTTTACTTAAACATAATTATTATTATAGTCAATTTCTGTACTGAACAAACATGGAATAGTAAGGTGCATCAGAATTTTCAAGAGCCAAAGTTAATAGTACATAGTCTGTATTGTAAGTGAATATTGAGCCACAGTTTTTAGTCATTTGTTCAAAAGCTGCTTGGTGTGAAATGATAAATAATAACTGTAGACATTTCCTTGGCACTTCTAGTGTCTCTTGGTGCTAACTCCCATCACTTCAGTTATTACCATTTGTACCTGATAAGATACAGCTAAAATTAGGATCACACATTGAATTTAAATTGTGATGCTTGAACCTCACTCTTGTGAAAAGGATGAACTTGATTTCTTAGATTCTAAGACTTTAAAAATTTTAATATTAAAAATTTGATGAGTATAAACCACTAATTTGTAATTTAATTGGTAGCATTGTTCTTTCTTTGGGGTACAAAAATAATAAGATTATGTCTTAAATTTGATGAAATATGTTAATACTTTTGAAGCACCTACTCTGACAGTTGAAGCACAAAATATTTTTGTATTTCTAACCTCGTATCCATAAAATTTTACAAGGAGCTTAAATAATACGTTTAAAGTCTCATAGCTGGTCAATGGATATGCTGGAATTTTAACTGGTGTTGGTTCGTTTGACACTAAAGTTACTGTTCCTTTTCACATGTCCTATACTGTGTGATTTGTCCATAGAAAAAAAATTTTTAAGAATTCTGCAGGTATGGTTGCACACAGAATTGGCTGTTTTCTTCTGAAAGTAGCTCTCCTTTTTTGTGAGCTACATAGTGAATGTATGTACTCTACCACCAGTAGTAGTGAATCTATGGCATGTGTGCTACAGCAGGCTGTTTATATCACTGAAAGCTCTAAAGGTTTGTCATCACTCCTCTACCAGAATATAAGAGCTGAAGGCAAAGAATGCCCTTGAGAGGCCTGCCTCATGATGACCATTCATTTGGACTATGCCCTAGCTGGAGGTGACATCTGTGAGAAATCTCTCTTCAGGAAAATATTTTTCACTGCTTTAGAAGGGTTAGACATTTTGATGTTATGCCTCTGAGTGATTATAAGGCAGTATGATACCTAAGGATGACATCTGTGTGTTTGAATGTAAAGCAGTGATTATTAATATGGATTCCTTCTGTCTTTGAATATTACAAAAGTTATGGGCTTTCTCCTCACAGAAAATGCCCGTCACACAAAATTTTTCACAAGTATTGAGGTATAGTGGAAACCCAAAAGTCTAGTGATAGAGCTCCATGAAACAAGATGCGTAGTTAAATCAAGAGTGAGTCCCTTAGGCACTTTATAGGCTGTTTGTTGGCCTTTGTAAGCCATGGAAAGATGTGGCTTCAGGAATGAATAGTGAGCTCATGTAAAGGTTCATAAACCACTGGAAACAAATACCACTGTGCCTTCCCTTAAAAAGTTATCTACTGGTGCTCTCAATGTAATTTAATACAGTGTTCTTACCATAGGTCATCCTATTGCTAACCTTGTTTTGTCACTTGGATCTCCCCTCAGAGTCCCCTTCAATGCGTCCTTCCTAATTACTCAACTAATCACTCAGTAACTAAATTTAACATCTTAAAAAAACCCATTGTTTTGAAGTTTGTTCTTTTCTACTAGAAAAACCAAGCTGTAAGAGAGCACATGTGAGTCTTGATTACTGCTCTGTAACCACATCTAGAAGTCATGTACCTGAATACTAATAAATATTTGTCAAATATATCAGTAAATAAATGCAGATGTATAAGCTAATATGATTGTGATGTGAATGAATAGTTTATGGTACTACAAATGTGTCCAAAAATTTAAATTATGCTATTATAATTATTAAAAATAATTCTAAGTGAATAATTTTATACATTGGCAAATATATTGACTTTCTGAGGTTTTCACTGTTATCAAAAGTTTGAAAAAATATTTAAGCTAGTTAAATTCTTGTTTAGCATAGCAAGTTCCATACATGTATAGCCAAGTATACATATATGTAGAAAGTCTTAAAATATAGTTAAATATAGCTAAAATTTTTTATAAAACAAGTTACTAATTACTGAACTTGAATTATTCAGTCCATTATCTTAACAGAAATTCTACACTACAGCTAAGTGGATTTATCTGCCACTCTAGTGTTGCTGTTGCTTAGTGAATCTACTCTTACTCTGTCCATTTTATTTTTTTCTTTTAGAGATGACAATAGTATTTTTGATGGGTTGGTGGAAGAAGATGACAAGGACAAAGCAAAAAGGTAGTTTATATGAGATATAAAATAGTAAATACGTGAAGAATACGTAAATTAAATAATAGAAAATTAGTGATTTCAAAAAGCTGTCTCCTGTAAGAATTTAGGTAATATTAGCAAAGTAGAAGAACTTAGGTGGTCATTATGCAGTTTATAGATTAAATACATTTATCCTCTGACCTTTTGGAAAAGCATTATACTTTACTTAAATAAAATGAAATTAAATAAAAACAATTAGAAAATCTGACTGCACAAAACAGATAGTTGGTTTAAATTATAAAATGATTAACTGCTTTATTAATAATCAGGTTTGTCTTAAAAATTTTGTTTACTGGTTACAAATTAACATAGTATCAATTATTCATTTAGTACATATATTTAGAATGTTCATAATTTTTTAGATGTTATAACTGAATGCTTAGGTGAAAACTTTGGAGTCCTTATCTTTGAGCGGGACAGATACAGAATGGTTGTACTTTGGGAGACTGGATCTAAAAGTACCAGAGAAAAGAGTATAGGAAGCCTGGAGGTAAAGAGAGTTTCACTCTTAGATGTTTTTTTAAATGACCTAAAGCTTAAGTTAGGTAGCTTTCTCTTAGTTGGTAATTTTTAATTTGCACTTACATATAATTTCATAAAATATTAGTATTTATAAGCTTATGACTTTCCAAGCCTTGGTAAGTATTAGATTAAATAAAATTTGCAGGGTGTGTGTGGTTGTTTTTGCATTTTCATAAAAACATGCTTCAAATACTTGATATATAAAAGTTTCTCCTGTGATAAGCTAAGATGAAAAATTATTGCCCAAATTTGCAGATATTGTTGGTGACCTAGGAAATATTTATTACTATGTGTATTTATAGCTGAACAGTGTTATGTCCAAATGAACATTGTAACAAATGATTTGAGTAATTATATGAGTTGTTTAAAAACTGCTTATATAATTTTTTCATCAGGGTATCTAGAAACAAATCTGAAAAGAAACGTAGAGATCAATTTAATGTTCTTATTAAAGAACTGGGATCTATGCTTCCTGGAAATGCTAGAAAGATGGACAAATCTACTGTTCTGCAGAAGAGCATTGACTTTTTACGAAAACATAAAGGTAATATTTTCAATGATAACTCTCCCTTAATGTGTAATGAATTAGAATCTAGTCACAGATTCAAAGGATTGAGTATTTCCTTGACTTTTTTTTAAGACAGTAAGAGAAACCACTTGCCTTTTTAAAGATAATTTCTTGGTACATTCTTTCATTCAACAGACATTTTACCTTCTTTATCCTAGATCCTTACGATGCAGGATAACCTGCTTAGCCCTTACATAACCCAAGGCAGGGCAGACTAATATGCAAACAAATAGTTACAGTACAAATGATTATCATGTGGGTAGTGCTTATAAATTTTAAACTTGTAGTAGGAACATAAAAGAAAAGAATATGTCAGGAAAGGCTTAAAAATAGTTCAGCAGTCTTCGTTTTAGATTAAAGAAAACAACATTTCACACAGAAGAGAAAACATGTATAAATGCGGAGACATTTGTATTTGGAGAATGTTTATGTTGGAAATTTAAGGGTGTATTTGAAAGAAAAGAGCCAGATAATGTAAGGACTTTCTATGTCATTTAAAAACCTTACTTAGGTTTGTTTTTAGAAAATAAACACTTTTAAAATAGTTGTTGTTTGAAGAAAATCACCTTGACCAAGTCGAGGGTCATGAAAATGTAAATGCAGCTAGAGGCACAACTCTGTAGTGGGGTGCTTACCTGACATGCCCAAGGACTTGAGTTCAGTCCTTGGAATTAGGGAGAGAAAGAAAATGTAAAGAATAATAAGTGTTTTGGTGACAGAGATACCGGATTTTAAAAATACATAAAAGGACATTTCCTTTTCTGGTTGCAAATAGAAGTGCAGAACCTCTCCAGAGGAGAAATAGTAACAACTGCCTCTTTGTTTCTCTCTAGCTCACTTGGTCATATATTGCTAGATTGATTATGCTCTATCACTCATTGAATTTTTTTTTCATTTTAACAAATGATATTTTTTACCCACCCCAATAAAGTAAAAGATTTTATATTATAGCTTAGCCTAATGTTCATCACTGTGGAACTGAAAATTTTGATTCATCCTCCATTGAGTTGCTTTCCATGAAATTGTATCACTTCTTCCCCTTCTGAAATAAAACTACCTTCTTTATGTATTCTCTAAATGTGACTTTTCTCGATGGCTTGTTCTTGTGTTTTTGGTCTCTCTATATTATTTCCCTTGGTTATTTCATTCTACGACTTCAGCTGTTGTATCTCTATTAAACTACCAATGCTTTATTTTCAGAGAGAAAATTTTCAGCATTGTATTTTTAGATACTTCTTTTGCCTGTCCCCCGAAAGTCCCCCAAAATCAATACATCAAAAACTGAATTCATTTTCATTTGTCAAATCTCTTGTTGCCACCTCTATCATTACATTTTACCTTTAGAAATATTTTCAAAAACCTCACCACCTCATATTAGAAGGCACACTCCCCTAAATTAGTGCCTTACGCACTGTAGGTGTTGAACAAATGATGGTTGAATGAATGAAATAAAATGCATATAATTCCTACTAAAAATAGAGCATTAATTTTTGCATTAAGTGTATTAGTGTTTTCTTCAAAATTAGATACATAATTTTCACAAAGTAAAATTTATATTGAATTAAAAGGAAATTCTTACTTACCACTCTTAAAATAGGCCTGTGTTTAATTGAACATGATTAGTCTTTACTTCTTGATTTAAATTCTTTTTTCTTACGTGTATGATACTTTCCTAAGTGTATACGATTTTGAAAAACATGAGCATATTCCACAAATCAGTAGCTAGACTTTTTACTTATTCTTCAGGTTATAGCATAGGCATTTACTATGCAAGTTTTTCAGTGACAATTAAAAATATTAAAAATACTACCTTTGTGTAAAGTATGTTATGTAGAGTATAGCCTAAATCATAGATTTTTATTCTGAGTTATAATATGTTTGCATTTAAAAATGGGAAAAATATTTGTTACCTAGATAGTTTAGGCTGCATTATTTATAAATAACTTTCTTTTAAACCAGATCTCCAAGAATTGTGTAACAAAATAAAATAGTAATAATTCTGATAAAATGTGTTCCCCAGGCCAGATCTCCAAATTTGGGACCAGCATCCTTACCAGTAAGAACAAGCAGGAAGGGACACTAAGCAAAGTCACTCTTTGGCACTTTGCCCAAAATCTTAATTTCATCTCCTTGATTAAACAAAAGTACCTTAGATTGGGAGGGTCCTTTTGTTTGAAAAACGGCCTAAGATTGTCTCTGTTGAAAGCAGATTGACTCACCTTACTGGCTTCTTTCCTCCAGGCTCAGTACTTTATCTCTCACTAGATATAACCATCTGATTTAACCTGCTTTTTTAAAATTTTAGTTAAAGAGAAAATAACAAAACAGAAAAAGGGTAGAAGTAATACATAGTTTCAAAACAATAAACGGTAAGAAATCACAAGTTGATAAATTACATATTGTCTTCTTAGAAATAGTTGTTCAAGTTACGAAAGTAAAGCATACAAAGTGGACATTCAGATAGCCAGACTGCAAACAGTTCTGTTCAACTATCCAACAAAAACCTAGTAATATGGTTATTAATCCTACACACTTAAATATACATGCAGTTATATCCTTTAGAGCACTTTCTTTTCCTCTTATTAGTTTTTAAGTCATTGTATCTCCTAGGAAGCAGTCTCAGGTTTATCAGCCATAAAAGACTATCAAATGTGGAAGCTCCTTAGAAAAAAAAAAAAAAAAAAACTCCAATATCACCAAGAGGCCAAGTCTTTCCTCATATTAAGTAACATGTGGTCTGCTATGTAAACCAATAAACATTAGTCCTTGTCATTCTTATCTCTAATAGGAGTGGAAACTGAGAAGGCAACTTACAGGATTTTTTATTCCCCCACTGGTTGGAGTATACTACTAATGTGTCAATCTGTTTACAGAAATCACTGCACAGTCAGATGCTAGTGAAATTCGACAGGACTGGAAACCTACATTCCTCAGTAATGAAGAGTTTACACAATTAATGTTAGAGGTATGTCCAGATTTAATTTTTGAAAGTTTTGTTTTCCTCAAAAAAGAAATCTTAGGACTATAATTAATTTTAACATAGTTTTAACAGTATTATTAATATAGGAAAGTCTTGATTATAAATATAATAAGCTATGTATATGTTCAATTAAAGTTGATCAAAGTATTGTAAGCAAATGATTCTATGTGATAAAGTAGCACTAAATTTTCATATTTTCAGTATTTGAATCTGTTGAGATGCTGAATAAAAGAAACTTGTATCTACTTTGTTCTCAACCTGAGACTGACAACTACATTCTAACAAAAATTAGAATTCATTTTTCATTGTGTTAGATATTATTAAGTGTGTCTGTTTCAATCTATGTGAGCGCCAGTAAACTGGGTAGCTTGTGAAAAATAAATTTATTTCTCATAGTGTTGAAGGCTAGAAAGTCTTTAAGATCAAAGCACCAACAGACTATATCTGGTGAGAGTTCTTGACTTCTGGTTCTTGAATAGTCATGGTGTGACGATATCCTTGTGTGCAGAAAGAACAGAAGAGCCCCCTGGAGCTCCTCATAAGGGCACTAATCTTGTTAATGAGGGTTACACCCGCATTGCTTAATCACATCCCAAAGACCCTACCTGCAAATATAATCATGTTGGAGATTAGGTTTCAATACAAGATTTTGCAAAGGGACACTCAGTCTACAATAGGTTATTTTTTTTAAATGGTAAATGATTTGACAATCTGCCTAAAATAAAAATAACAAATGAAGTATTTGAAAAATCCAAAAAAGTGAAACATACATTGAAAAACAGTTGTTTTTGAGAAGCTTCTAGAAGAAAACAGATGTTCTTCTGTGACCAAATTATTTTTTAAAAACAGTTCAGAACATTTTTGCTTGTTATTGCAGAAGTTAGTATCTCCTACAACCTATTAAAAATTTACAAGTTTTGAATCACTCATACCTATGAATTTTACTTCTCTACTTTTTCTTTCTTATGTACAGTAGCACAGGTATCATGTATATATACAAAGTGTGCAAAATTTAGTATAAAACTTCCAGGAAAATTTACAATAGAAAATGAGTGATTTACTTTGGAGATAACAGTTAAAAACAAGAGAAATAGGTACATGACAGCAGGTAGATACAGAAAGACTACAAGGATATGTAATATCTGTGTCTCAGATTATCTTTGTATGTCTACTAAGGTCTGAAGCAAAATAGTCTTCTTTCCAATTAATGAGGTATTTTTCTACTCATACTTTAAGCAGAAAGTTAACTACTGGATAAGTAAGTCTGTATTCAGCAGAAGCATTAACAAATATAAATTGTTTGCATTATAAATATATTTAAACAGCTGATCTTATATTTTAAAACCAAAATGTAACTGCGAAGTTTTCATGTATTAACTAACTTAGTGAATCCTCATAAAGGTATTATGAAGTAGTCACTGTGTATCTGAGTGTCAATAATAACCAGTATTATGAAGTAGATATTAGTATGTTTTTCCACATAAGAAAATCAAGGAACAGAAGCTTTGTGAAACTTGCCCAGAGTGACACAGCTGGAAAGTGGCTCAGCTGGGATTCATTGCAGCCGGCTGGCCTTGGGTCTCATTTGCTCAGCTATCATGCACGCTGCCTCTTACTAGATCGTTCTTTTTTTTTTTTTTTTTTGGTCTTTTTCCTTTTTATCGGTACCGGGGATCGAACTCATGACTGCCTGCTTGCAAGGCAGGCGCTTATGCCGCTGAGCTCAATCCCTAGCCCCCAGATCATTCTTTTAAGTGAAAGATATAGCAAGAAACTTGTAGCTCTGTGACGAGCTAATTGGCTTTTTAAAATAGTGGATTTTTTTCTAAAAGTGCTTGATATTGTCAAAAATACTTCTGTAGATAGAAGTAATGTGAAAAAGTATTCACAAACTAGTGTCTACAACAAAGAAAATAACTCAGCCGATTTTTAGTTTTATTGTGTTATATTCTGAGTGTAGTGGTTTAATATCATGTGTTAATAAAAATTTCCTTATTTTGTTGGTAAGAAAAATTTCTTATAAATTAAAAAATTTGTGCAGTACCTACTTTCATTTATAACCTTATATAGGTAAATTACCTGCTTGCTAATAAGCTAAACAGAAAACTGTTATCTCCAAATTTTTCTTCATAATGGAATGATTTTTATTAATCATCACAGCACATGTACATAAGTATCAAAGAGAAAATATGAACCAAAGATCCCAAATATTAAGACATTTGAAGTATCTTAAAAATATTGAAAATATAGATTAATTTTTTTCATGATTATCATCATAGATTTTGAGTTACATTCCTGAAAATGGTGCATTTATTTTTAATGTCAACCTTCGTTGTTTTTTAATGTCAACTAAGTATACTTACAACTACTAAGTATATGTTCTAATATATGTTGAGATGAAGAATATGTATATGTACATGTATATTCTGTGCTGAGTCCAAGTATTTTCTCACATTTGATTTTACATGCTTAATTAAAGTCTTTCCAGATTTGCTTATTGAATGTAAAAAAAACTGATTCACAAACAGAACTGGTTTTTTTGGGTGAAATTTATTTGATTAGAGGCTAACCTAGTTGTGGTTTACTTGGCTAATCATGCTGATGAGATTACAAATAAGCAGGTTACACACCATACTTAGCAGAATTTCTGATGTAGGCTGTACCTTGGAATGTTAGAACTGCAACCAGAAGTAGAAGAGATTAGTTTTTTTAGCGCAAACTTAAATTTTACCATGATGCCTGGAGAGGTTGCTGCTTGTCCATATTCAGATAGTTAATTGATGGAAAAACTGGAACCATGGGCTTAAAGCGCACAACTTAGTGTTGGCTGTCTTCAGTCTTCCATTACCCTCCCCCCACTACCACCTTGTGTCTGTTGCCTAAGGAGTATTTCTTCCTGCTCTTGGCAGACTAGCAATAGGCAAAGCAATTAGAGCAGTTTGGCCTGATCAGATCTTTCTAAAGTCATCTGTATGTGAAATAATCTTCCAGTATGTAGCTGTCCTTGGCAGCTTGAAGTTCTTGAGTAATCCATACAGGATGGAGTAGTGCTGTATGTTAGCTTCATCTTTGCTGTAAATGCACAAAAAACTTTCCCCTCTGTCCCTAGAACTTCTGTTGCAGGCTTTCCCAGACTAAACAGTTACTGTGCATCACATAGGTATTAAATTAAGAAGTTTTAGCCAGTGACTCTTGTAGCTTTAGTCATAGAATGTGGGGAAGAGGATAAGAGTCATAGTTTTAGGATGAGGAAGATGTTCTCTGCCTTATTCTTTCACATTTTCTCTAAATCATCCTTCTGAAGGCACTTTAGTTTTTGTATTAGTTTTTTTTTACTATCTACCTTCATGGGAAATTATATCCCTACACTCAAAAGATGTTGGTGCCCTCATTCTTTGTCCTAAAATCTTCTATTTGCTTCCTGCTGTGTACAGAAAAAAGCCTTTTAAGTTGTAACCTGATATTCAGGACCTTTCACGATTTGGGCACAGCCTAATTTTTCAGTTTCCTTTTTTCCCTCTCCCTTCACTTTATTCCTTATGTATCTCCTTATCCTTCAATCAGATACTTCTCTGTTAACGTATGCAAAATAACAATGCAGCTATGTGTTCTTTTGTCTGCCTAAGACATATTCTTGGTAGTATGTGTGCTTTGGAAATGGTAGCATCTTTAGATAAGTCGTACTATATATATGATTGGATTTCATAGTATGCATAGGAATAAAGACAGAACATTAAGACCCTATCTTTAGACACTTGCCATCCTGGGGCCAAGAATATAGCTCAGCAGCGTAAGTGCCTGCCAGGCATGTGCGAGGTGTGAGTTTGATCCCCACTACCAAGAAAAAAATACAAACCAAAAAAACCCTGCCATCCAGCAGATAGCTAGAAAATAATTTTTTAACCAGAGAGTAATCTTTTCCCCCAGAAGCACTTAAAGATACACAAAAATATATAGAAATATACTGTAGAGAGAAAAAGCTAGCATTTTACAGTGTCTTATATTAATCTTTATTTAAATAAGAGTGATTTATTTATTTAAATCTTGTCATTATCTTGTTTCTGTCCTGTGAAATACTTTTTTTCTTTGTATTTAACTGACCATTATGTTTAATTTCAGGCTCTTGATGGTTTTTTTTTAGCAATCATGACAGATGGAAGTATAATATATGTATCTGAGAGTGTAACTTCATTACTTGAACATTTACCAGTAAGTATAAAAATCTGGTAATGTCTTCATTTAACACTTGCTTTACATCTTTAGAAGCACTAGAAAGCCGACCTTTAGCACAGTGCTGAACAATCACTAAAGAGTAGGGACAAAAACTCTTACGTATGTCTTTGTTAAGCACCGCTGTGTTTTTTCAGAAGACTCATGACCACTTAATATTCAGCTACTACTTGAAGAAACTTCTTATTCTTTATTCTAATGCTAACTTTTCAGTGTTTACTTTTTAATTGGCCTCATAAATATGTTATAACACAGAACATCTTGAGAGTAATCAAATTTCTACAAGATATTTGTTGCAGGTAGCAGAAATCATACAGTTTCCTCAAAAGAATGAATTATAGTAACACTAAAAATAAGTGATACAGAATTTGAATCATTTGTAGGAAAATGAATGCACCTTGAGACCATAATATTAAGTGAAGCAAGCTTAACTATCACTTGGTTCCTCTTATTTGAGAAACTCAAAGTATAAAAGTAAAGATGAACTAAAGTCAAAATGGATCAATGATCTAAATATTAAAATAGATACACTAAATTTACTGGAAGAGAAAATAGGTAGAAATCTTGAAGTCATAGGTATTAGTAGAGACTTAATGAACTAAACCCAGGTCACAAAAAAATTTTACAAAAAAAATCAGCAAATGGGATCTCACCTTATTAAAAAGCTTTTACACAAGAAAGGAAAGGAAAGAGTGAAGAAAACCCACAGACTGGGAAAAAATGATAGTCAGTTGTCCTTCAGACAAACAACTTACATCCAGAACATACAAAGAATTGGAAAAAAAAAAAAAGCAGCCCCCAAAATTTCAAAGACTCAGTCCAAAACTGGCATCTGAGATGAGCATATACTTCTCAGAGGAAGAAATACAAACAGCAAATAAATACATGAAAAAAATTCAGTATTATTGGTCATTTGAGAGATGCAAAGTAAAACAAGACTGAGATTCCATCTCACCCCAGACAGGATGGCTATCATCAAAATACCAACCAATAACCAATACTGGCGGGCACTGGGGAAAAAGGAACCCTCTCTGTTGTTAGTGGGCATGTAGACTGGTGCAACTACTGTGGATACCAGTATGGAGATTCCTTAAAAAACTAGGACTAGAGGTTCCTTGACCCAGCTGTTCCCCTTATGGGTATCTTCCCAGAAGAAATAAAAACATCACACCACAATGATATGTGCACACCTATGTTTATAGCAACACAATTTGTAATAGCTAAATCTTGAAAACAACCCAAATGCCCATCAACTGAGGAATGGATAAAAAAGACTTGGGTTTTTTTTACAATGGAGTACTACTCAGCTATAAAGGAGGATAAATTGGAGACTTTATAGGTGAATGGATGCATCTCAAGACAATACTCATAAGTGAAATAAATCAGACCCATGTGTTTAAACATTGTATTGTATCACTAATGTGAGAAACTGAAGAATAAATAATATCCAAAATGTATAGTAAATATTATGAACTGGGAAGAACTGTTCAAAAATGACAGACTGTGAGGGGAAAGGAAAAAATGGGAAAAAATATGTGTATATATATGTATATATAGACACACACACATACATATATATTTATACACTAAATAGTTAAGATAGTTATATAGCTAGCTTATCTTAGTTCATTGTAAAGAAAGGTTTGTGTTAATATTGTTTGTACAATATATCATACCTATATCTTTTACTCTAAATAACTACGAGGAAGAAAACAAAATGCAATGTATTATTGTAACTCTTTACTATCCTGTTTTGAAACTGTTGTACAGTTATTTTTTTTTCCTGTTTAAAAAAAAATAAAAGAATACAGGGATATAGAACTTTTACAGAAGGAAGGAGGCCAAGTGACAGAGAAGCAAAGGAAAGGAGACTAAAAAAGATTTAAGATGTGGTATATACATGTACCAATTCCCCATGATGAATGTAATTGTTTTGTACTATAAACATATATTAATAAAAAATTTTAAAAAACATTTTAAAGGTTAATACTGATCATATTCAGTTAATTTTCAGTGTAACCAAAAAGACATAAAGAATTAGGAATATATTGTACAATTTTGATTAGATGATAAATACCTGAATTGTGCTTTTTTTACTCAGCATATATTTACTGAACATCCATTGTGTGCCAAACACTATGCTGAGTGCTGTGCTGCAGTTCATGGCTTTAAAAATGAATTTGCAGGTTTAGGACCTGTGATATAAATATTCTTAGATCATTTGTAAATTATTCAAAATGGATTTTTTTTGAAAATTTTAATAATGCAAAGTAAACCCACAAAGAGATCCTAAAAAGCAGTATTTCCTTCTTCCTGTTTATTTTCCTGGGCAATGCTTGTTTAAAAAATAAAATAAATTTTTAAAAACTTGCATAGAAAGAAAACCAAGGGTTAAGAATCCCTCTAAGAATTATGTATTGATAACAAGTAAATTACAGAGTTCCGAACCATATAAATTGAATTGGTTTTTCTTTCAGTTATATATTTGTAGAAACTACTTAATTTTTTTATTTAGTAGTAGTATACTGAAAACTAAAAGTGGCTAATGGAGGATGATTTAGAGCTATGAAAAGAATAAGGCAGAGAACATCCTCCTCATCCTGTGAATCTCTCCCCTCTCCTATATTCTGTGACTAAAGGGAGATGGTTCATTAGTTAAAACTTCTTATCTTCTGATTTTATGTCTATCTGACCCACAATGATTGATTGCTACTTGATGACAGTGAAGGCTAATTTGAAAGGGTCAAAATTTTTGTACATTGTATTTAGGAATACAGTTGCTTAAAAATATTGTATATCCAAGCCAGACATGGTAGTGCAGGCCTGTAATTTCAGTACTCTGAGAAACAGAGGCAAATCTGAATCCTTAGTAACTTAGCAAAGTCCTGTCTCAAAAAAAAAAGCTGAGTGTATAGTTTAGTGGGAATACCCTGGATTCAAACCCTGTTCTGCCAAAAAAAGGGAAAAACAAAATCTAAAACTATATATGATCCAACATGGATACTCTAGGAGGTCACTCCCTGGGGTCTGTCCAGGTGATGTAGGGGAGCATAGGGCTCTGCCCCATGATGTGCTGTCCCTTTCCACAAGGTTGGAGAAGAAGCTGGGCCTGTGTCTGCAGCTGCATATTCCTACAACTTCTCAGAGTCCTTTGGGCAGTGACTAAGGGGATAAACTGTGCAGAAAACAATGTCTAGTCAACTTAAGACTTTAAGTTTGAACTATGGGACCAGGGATTTAGCTCAGCAGCACAGGCACCTGCTGGCAGGTACAAGGTTGTGAGTTTGATCCCCGGTATCAAAAGTAAATAAATAAACAGAAGCACAGAGGACAGTTTTTCAAGAGAGCCTTGAGTCCCTTTTAAGCAATAATTGTCTGTAGGAATCATTTGTTTAACTGTTCTTTGTCTGCCTAAAAGATAATTGCAGTGGTTATAATTTACAGTAAATTAATAACATTGATCTAATGTAGAAATATACAACTAAACCAATAGGATTTATATTTGTTCTATGTGAAAATGACAGGGTAGCTGGGTACAGTGGCGCATGCCTGTAATCCTAGCATTTGGGAGGCTGAGACAGTATGATCATTGAGAGTTCAGCCTGTCTGAACTGTATAGCAGGACCCGTCTCAAGAAAGAAAAAGAAAAGACAGACAAAGACAGAGAGAGAAACAGTAATTGAGGAAAATTGAAAGATGCAGTTAGCTACCATTTGCTTTTTGTCCATCTGGCTTATTTTTGAGTACTGAATACATGTTACAGCAACAGCAGGTACAATTATCCCCGTGTTAAGACTTAAGGAAGTTGGATCCTTCAGAGAGTGACAGGAGAAGCTGGGAGGTAGGAGAGCAGTGTTTGCTGTCATACTTGTAAGAGAAGCCTTGCGTTTCTTCTCTGTGCATGAGAAATATCTTGTAAATTTATAGAGAGAAAGCAAAGGGTAAAAAAAGTCAAATCATAACTTGTCGAAATAGTATCATTGTCAAAATGAAACTTTTAATTATTTCAAATGTGTTTTAGTTTTCTGTTTACTAGTTTTTGTATTCTTAGAAGTACCTGTATTTTGGTACTTAAGTGTAAGATAGTTGTTTAGCATTTCTGTGACTCATACCTGAGCTCTCCGTTTATTCTGAAAGGCTTTTCAGATTCCTAGAATTCCTTGTTAAATTATAGTTATCTTTTTGGTGTGGTTACCCCTTAAGCCATCATCAGATAACTCTTTAGTCCAAAATCAGTTATTGTACTGATAACTATTATATGCAAGGAACAGGGTTAATGTGCCTTGATTGGAAGGGAAGAAGATGAAGGTATTCATTTATGGGACTAGAGGAGGTAGACATTAAAATAACATATACTTTTATAGAAAAAGAATGATACTTGTAATAAGTACTAAAGGAATTTTATTTTTACCTTGGATTTTTATGTTAAGGGAGTGCTTTTCTGAGGAAATACTATGAAGGAATGAAGGATAGTTTTGTGAAAGTTGAGAAAGGCAATTCCACTTCATGAGGAGAGGTTGAGGGATGGAGAAAAGAAAGAATAAAAGTGTGGCTTGTATGGTGAGTAGTGGAGAACCTCTTCCACACCTTCGTCATGCCCAGTGGCGCTCTTTTGTTGTTGCTATTTTTGTTTTGGAGCAATGGTGTGGTTTGCAGATGTATAAATGAGAAACACACAAACAAGTGGGGAGCCGCTCTAGTTGAGTGCAGCCCTGCCTTCACAGCAGCTTTTGTTCCCTTAAGCTTGAGATACCGCCCTAGGACTCCATAGAGTGGTTTGGAAATGTAGAGAAGTCAGGTGCAATGAACTGCTCTCAATAGAAAATGTAATCACCAAAGTTTCATTGGTCCTTAAAGGGACAGGAATCAATAAATTGCAAAGTTGTGCCTTTTAGCACATTAAGTCTCTTAGCTCAGTTGTGTTTTAAAATGTTCAGACTGGGTGGAACTCAGTTTTGCAAATAGTACTTTAGGCTTTCAAGATTATATTGACCATGAATCTGATGACATTGATGTAAGAGGCACTTCTCAGTCTTGATTTTTAAGGATACAATCTGTAACTTGATGTATATTGTTTTTCACAGATAATTGAAAGTTAACCAGGTGATCTTCTGTAGTTTAACAGCGATTATACATTTTTAAAATGTCTCTTGATTTAATAAATAAGTTTATTTTTAAAATTTTCTTTTTCAGTCTGATCTTGTGGATCAAAGTATATTTAATTTTATCCCAGAAGGGGAACATTCAGAGTTTTATAAAATACTCTCTACCCATCTGCTGGAAAGTGATTCATTAACTCCTGAATATTTAAAATGTAAGTAGTAACTGTTAAGCAAAAATCCAAACAAGCATGAGGTCTTGAGTTTGATTTCTGGTACCAAAAAAAACCATTTCTCTTCAAAAATCCACATGCTGTATTTAATAGCTTTATCCTTTTCTTTTGAAAGCTTTTGAAAAGACATTCTTAATTAAAATGCAATACTTTTGATACAGTATTTTATACTCTATTAAGTGCTTGTTAAATATTAAAAAATATTTACAAAATGGAAGTGGATTCATATTAAGGTCTAAAATCTGTTCCAAACTATAATGAAATAGCATCATGTGTGTTATACTAAATGTAAATAGTTGTGCCACAGTTATGCCATACATTGTAAAGAAATGGAACCTGGCAGTGTATTTTTAATTTTTAAATATTTTATTTCACAAGAAAATTCATCTCATTTTCCTCACTGTTAACCAACTGGGCACTCAACCTGTAGGGACAATTTCTATTAAAAATATTAAATAAGTTATTTATTTAGCTGAATTTAAAAATCTTTTATTGGTTCTATCGAGTGTACCAGCCACTTGGGTTATATCATTAAAAAGTGGCAAGAATAGTGCAAAATAGTCCTTGTGGCTATGAAACCCAAAATATTATGTTATTAGTGGACATTTCTTCTTCATTGAGCAAATTGGTTTCATTAGAACACTTCATTTTCTTCACTGTTTTATGCTGTGTTAAATTCAAAATTGTTACATCACTTTTTATCTGTTAGCTATTAGATATCTTTTATCATTTTCCATGATTTTAAAATTGCACTTTTTCTAATAATTGCATTAATCATTTTAGAGATTCTTCATATCCTGTGGTTTACTAAGATTTGAGATACATGTACTTAGTACTGTATGGAAGTTTATTTGTATATGTATGTTTGATACATGTTTCAGGGAGAGTTGAGAAAAACTAGAAACTGGGAGAATCCATTTGAAGCTTATGCCATATACAATTGTTTATAATCAAGTTGCATGACATTGACCAATAGTGCCGGGGATTTAGCTCAGCGGCATAAGTCCCGGCCTGGCAAGTGCGAGGTTGTGAGTTCAATGCATGGTACCAAAAACAAAAAAACCACAAACCGGACATTGACCAATAAACCACTCAAATCCAGTACTGAGGAGAAAAGATTTTAGCTGTGTAGGATAGACTGAGAAGCCTGTTATATGCCTGTACTTAATATTCAAAGTCATAGGTTTAATGGCATTATTTGAGTAATTGAGGTTAATATATAGAGAAGGGAAAAGAGTTACGGAGTTGGAACCCCTAAAAGATCACAACAAGAAGACAGAAGAAAAAGTGGTGACTTTTAAGAGGCAGAATTTTGACAGGAGAACTGAGCCAAAGCTTCTGGTATACTGGGACAGTAAGGCAGGAGGATCATAAGTTTAAGTACAGTTTGGGCAGTTTAGGGACTTAGCAAGACCCTGTCTCAAAATAAACAAAAGCTGTACCTCAGTGTGAAAACCCTATATTCAATCCACAGCAAAAAAAAAAAAAAAAAAAAAAAAAAAAAAAAAAAAACAGAACCTGTCTGGCAGAAAGACCTTAGGCATCTGCTTCCAAAATTAGAAGCAAAGGTAACAACACAATTTTTTTGACAGGAAACAATCCTAGTTAAATGTCTTGCTAATCACTTAGTTAAACAACTGTTACATAAAAGTTCTTCCCTCATCAAAAAGTACTTTATGCCAAAAGAATAAACGCAAGTTAAAACATGGGAAATTGCTTGGAAATTTCTGTAAGTCATTTTGGCTAAAATGAAGATCAGATAGTGTAGATGATATGATTTGGATTTAGTGAAGGAAGTAGGAAAATTGTGAAGGGGTACTATTTCACTCTGTGGAGTTTGATTTTTATGTTTTACATAGTGGAAAGCCAGCAAAGGAGATTTGAAGGGTTGTATAATGTGGGGAGAAAAATGCCTAGTGTAGAAAATTTAGATAAGGATCATACTGAGGACAAAGGAAATATTGTATATTTTTTACAACAAAAGTAAGGATGGAAAAGAAAGTGAGTGCCACATAAATAAACTCACCAAAACTTGATGTTAAACGCTGGTGACCACGGCTGGGAGGATTTGAGAAAAACAATGATCGCTGGGCATTGAACCTGTTGCATTGATGATGAAACTTTCTACTATTGCCAGTAAAAGAAAAGCAGGGCCTTGATGTAGTGAATGAAGGAGTTACTAGTCCTTGAGTGTGGAAGCAATGTGATGAAAATATTATTGAAGAGTAGTAGCCAGAGGTGAATCAGAGGCAAGAACGTACAGGAATAAGGAGTAAACGTTACTTAGATGCAAGACCATTTGTGATTGTACTGTACTGGGTTGATAATACTAAAAGCTTAGTTGGAAAAAATGATTTATGAGAGTTTCCTTGGTGAAATAAATACAGGTCTTAGTGACAGATTAGTTTTAGGATTTGTAATGGGAGTGAAAGAGGCCAAATCAATGTGAACAGAGGGTAGAGATATGGTTTCTAACTTGACAAATAAACATACATAATGCAAAATGGGGACAGCTGACTTAGGAAGAAAGAATAAATTCACTTTGAAATACTTTAAATCACTGATGGGACAATCAAGAGGAAATGTGCTGAAAGCAAGTAGTGATGTAAAACTTTGTCTTATATAATATGTTAGAGTTGAGCAGAGAAATATAACAGTTAATAAGGAAAGACTAATTTATAAAAGACAGCAAAAGATCAAGATAAAAGAACCTCTCTGAAAACCACTGACTCAACGATGGATTAGCAGAAGGGATAGAATAGTCAGTAAGCTAGGAAGGCAAGTACATGTTATGGAAATGAAGAAGTATGAACTTTAAGAAGCACCAGAAACAAGAAAAATCACTGAAGTTGTCAAGGTAAATGTTAGTCCTCTTGTAGCTGTTGTGGTAAAGGTGTGAGGATGAAGTCCACAGTACGTGACATTAAAGAAAACGAACTCGTAGAAACTGGAGTACATACTGGAAAGGAAGGCGATCTGTGACCTTAGAAAGATGAGCATTATAATTCTTCGTTTGAGCTGGAAAACCTAAGCAAATTTAAAATAGTAAAAAATGAGGTTCCAAAAGGAGACATTGGAGGTACCAAAGGAGTGAAAGACAAGTGGCGTGGCCTGGCCTTCGAGAAGATAGGAAAGAGTGTTCACGGTAGAGACGGGAGCTAGCTGCAGACTGCGAAGGAATTTCTTGAAAATTATTGTGAAGAAAGAGAAGGAAGAGTAAATGGAAAAGGAGAAACAATGAGTTGCATGAACAAGATGACATCTGCTAACTGTATTGTACTTTTATGGACCAAGTAAAATGTCTTTCATTGACGACTTCTGTTAAGAGAAAACAGTTGTGAATTAATCCAACTTTTATAATCTTATTTCATGTGATGTATCACATAGACATGATTTTATTTTTTACCACTTTTCAGCAAAAAATCAATTGGAGTTCTCTTGCCATATGCTTCGAGGAACAATAGACCCAAAGGAGCCATCCACCTATGAATATGTGAGATTTATAGGAAATTTCAAATCTTTAAATAGCGGTGAGTTGAATTGCTTCATTTTTACAATTTTAACTTAGTGTTTTGTAAGCGCTTCACATTGCTGTTTGAATAGGAGAGGAACTAGATTTTGCTGGAATTGCCAGTGATACATATTTCCTTACTGTTCTAGTTTCCACTTCAGCACATAATGGTTTTGAAGGAACCATACAGCGTACACACAGGCCTTCTTATGAAGACAGAGTTTGCTTTGTAGCTACTGTTAGATTAGCTACACCTCAGTTTATCAAGGTATGTTTCTAATTGTAATTGCTCAAAGGGAATTTCATTCATACTATGAGAACTGTGTTTCTGTAATTTTCTTTTGTCTTCAGAAAGTCTGCAACTGCCTTCAGATATTGAAGTGTAGTAATGGCTGTGAGTCATTAAGATACGCATGAGATGATATTTTTGAAACCATGAGTTATGAGAGTTCTTGCCAAGTATAACTAATTTTTAGTATGTATCCTTTGCAGTTAACCAGTGATTATATGTAACGCCTTACTTTTGTGTAGAATTTTAGGGTGCTTTTGTATATTATTCACTGCCTGCATTGAAAGAAAAAAGTTTTTAAAATACAAGGAATTTGAGATGTCTAGGTATCTTTTTCTGCTTACAGTTGACTTACTAATTCAAAATTTAAATGATGTGGTCTTTTTCCCCTTGGGACCAACAAGCAGATGATTGATCAGTATTCCATTTTCCCACTTCCCTATTAAACAGTGGATGGAAAGGCTAAGGTTTAAAATTTGGGAGGCAGCATGGTATAGGATGAAATACCAAGTTAGCAATTAGAAGATCTTAAAGCATTTTGTTCTGCTTTTGTTTTTAAGAAATAATATCTGTGGCTCACATTGGAGCACTTATTACATGCTGTACATTTTACAAGCATTTTAATTTTTAGTTAGTTGCTATTATGATCCCTATTTTATATAGAAGGAAACCTATTCTTAGGGAAGTTAAGAAGTTGTTTGCCAAAAGTTTAATCTGTTAAACGATTGAACTGGAACTTGATTCTGATATTTTTTTCCTTTGTGCCTCAGCTCTTCACTGTTATATTATGCTGCAGAAAGTTATTTAAGGACACAGATGAAAATTGTGACACACTGTTTAGTATGACCAGAATCTAGGATGGGGTAGAGGTAGTGAGAAATAAGGTTAGGAAAGTAGTCTGCCACGCTGAAGACTTTTTCATGTATTTACTGGCCGTTTGTATTTCTTCTTAGAAGTGCCTTTTCTTTTTTAGTTGTACATTTTTTGATGAGTCTTTTGCGGGGAGATCTAATTTTTTTGAGTTCTTAATATAGTCTAGATGTTATTGCTCTGTTTGAGTTGTAGCTGGCAAAAGTTTTTCCCATTCTCTAGGTTGTTTCTTCATTCAGGTATTTCCTTTGCTGTGCACTCTTTTTAATTTGAATATGATCCCATTTGTTAACTCGATGTTATTTCTCATGCAGTTGAGGTCCTATTCAGAAAGTACTTTCTTACACCTATGACTTTAGGAGTTTTACTTCCTTTATCCTGTAGGAAGTTACATGTTTCTGTTCTTTGATTGATTTTTATGACAATCATCAAGAAATCAAATAAAAAGTGTTAGAAAACGGTGGTGAAAAAGGAACTCCCCTACAGTATTGGTGGGAATGTAAACTAGCACACCCATTATGGAAATCAGTTTGACAATTCCTCGATCCCTTGGAAAACTAAAACTAGAAATTCCATTCCACCCAGCCTTTTCCCTATTTTCCTGAGAGAATTAAAGACATAGTATTCCAATAATATATGGAGACCTATGTTTATAGCAGTCCAATTCATAATAGCAAAGTCTTGGAAGCAGCCTGTATATTCATCAGCAGACAAATAGATAAAGAAAACGTGGTACTTCTACACAATGAAATACTACTCTGCTATAAAGAAGAATGTATTCAAACTTTTTGTAGGAAATTGAATGGTCCTTGGGAAACATATTAAGTGAAATAAACCCTATACTTAAGTGAAATAAACCCACAAACTTAAACACTCAAAGTATAAATAAGTATATCAAAGTATAAATAAAAAGAAAAATAAAGATATCTGTAAAGGTAGATACAAGGAAAGAATGAGACAGATACACTGCAAATGGAAGGAGGACCAGGAGATGAGGAGAGGGGCAGTGTAAAATAAGATGTGTCATGTACATATAACAGATACCTACAATGCAAGTGGTCATTGTGTAGTGCAAATATGTGCTAGTAAGTAAATTAAAAGAAAAAGTACACAAAGGCTAATCATGAAGTTTCTGTTTTCTTCTTTTGTTTTGTTTTTGTGGGGGTTTTTGTACTGGGAATTGAACTCAGGACCTTGCACCTGCCAGGCAGGCGCTGTGCTGCTGAGCTATACCTTGGTCCCAAGCTATAGGTTTTTAAAAGTGAAGTCATACAGTTATATTTAAGTGATGTGTAGAATGAGAAGTAGTCACTATGAAGCCTGCATTTCAGTGTTATTGCTGCATTTACATTTTTTATTTTCAATTTATTTGGGGGGTAGTGATGATTGAACAGGGAGCTTTCTGTATGCTAGGCTAATACTGTAGTGTTCAGCTATATCCATAGCCCACCATATTTTTTAGTACTACAAAATTAAAATGTGTTAAAAATATATTTATGTAAAAGTCACCCATTTTAATAATGATCCCTACCCCACCTCCATACTGGTTATTGAAAACAGGGCCTTTATACTGTGCTCCATGCCCAGCCCTTTTTGTTACATTTCAATATGGAACAGTATCTCACTAAGTTACCCAGACTGGGCTTGCACTTGGTAGTCCTCCTGACCGTGCCTCCCCGCATGCTGGGATTATAGGTGGGCCATAATAATGATTTTTAAATCATAACATATTTAGGAGTCTTCTAAGAACCGGGAAATATCTTTTTTTGGGGGGAGGGGATATCTTTAAATTACAATTTTTAATTTACTTGCAGGAAATGTGTACTGTTGAAGAACCCAATGAAGAATTTACATCTAGACATAGTTTAGAATGGAAGTTTCTGTTTCTAGATCACAGGTAACTTTGTTTTCACATTTCATGAAATGGTAATTATCATATGATTCTTGAAATTGTAGGACAATCTTTTTTTCTCATCAGAACTTTCCACTAAGCATTTTTCAAAAAATAAAGCCCATTAAAATTTTTTTATAGTTGGAATGTTTCTTACAGAAAAATTACAATCTTGCCAGCACCTCCCCTCCCTGGTAAGCGGCGGTAGTTTAGCCCACTGCAGCCCTTCCAGGGGGAGAACTAGCAGTGTCTCCTGAGATCCACGCCATGCTGGAGCTTAGGATTCCTGGAAGCCAAGCCAGCATCTCCCCTCCCTGTAAAAAGACAGACACTATGGTAACTACTATTAAGTTGGGTTATTTGGTGGTGAAGCACGAGGTTGCTGAAACAGTCATGCTTTGACCTGTATTTTATTTTGCTATGTCCTGTTTTATCTCAATCTCTCCCTTATTCTTTAAAAAAATTATTTAGTTGTTTCTTATGTTTGTTTTAATTAAGGGGAAAAATTTAAAAAATTAGCAGGATATATAATAGTAACTCTTTTTGATTTCCTATTAACTTGTTTTGAAGTCCTGTAATACTCCCACGATCTTGTTTCGACTGACTAGACTCTGTTCCATTCTGTATGATAGTATCATGTTTGAGGGTATAAGCAACTACTTTGAAGGCAATAAGATTCACTAAGATGCCCATTCTGGTTTGACTATTGTCTCCTTTGGAAGCCCTGTAATGTTTACAATGCCTAAGTTTTATTGGTCTTGTTCTCTACTGTTTTGTTCAACTTTATAATATCTAATGAGATAGACAATTCTTTTTAAGGAAACAAGACACATCGTTGATAACCATTGTTGATAACCGTGTACTCTGTTTTACATCATGTGCTATGTCTATCCTTGGTTTTGACTGACAGCTTTGTTTTACCATATTTGACTTTATTCTCTCCCCCCCAAAAAAAGTAATAAGAACTAAGGAGTAATAAAATCCAAAATGTGTAAATTTTGTTGTAAAAAAGAGAGGGGGAAAAAAATGAGCTCTAACGGATATAACAGCAAGTGTGTTTAGGGGTGTTAAATAGCTGACTATATTAATGTTTTTGGATCATTGAACACAGCTGTTTGCAGTCTCTCTGTTTGAATGTCCACTTTGTATTCTTTGATACTGTGATTTGAGCAACTATTTCTAAGATGATAATATGTAATCTATTAACAGGTGATTTCTTACTGTTTTTTTTTTGTTGTTGTTGTTTTTTGTAGTTCTGTATTACGTGTACCCTTACACTGCTTTGTTTTGTTTTGTGTTTTTCTCTTTTTCCTTTTAAATAAAATTTAAAAAAAAGAAAGAAAAATTACAATCTTGATTGTTTTATTATATAATTCAGGGCACCACCAATAATAGGATATTTGCCATTTGAAGTTCTTGGAACATCAGGCTATGATTACTATCATGTGGATGACCTAGAAAATCTGGCAAAATGCCATGAACACTGTAAGTAGAGTTAGTGATTGTATCTTTTTTCAAACTCATGTAAACAAAAATCTTATCCTATTAATGATAGGCAGTAAAATACAAACTTCCGACCATTTATATATATATATATAAATTTTATATATATATATGTAAAATAGGAACAAGTTTAATTTAAATTATTTATATTCAAATATTCCAGTAAATGAAAAAATTTCTCAAATTAATGTAACCACAGAACTCATTTTTTTCCTTGACATCTGTTAAAATAGACTTCAGAATTTAAGAACTACAGAATGCTTTGTGAAATTCTACTCTTTAACAGTTGCTACAGGGGCTGGGAATTTAGCTCAGCGGCATAAGCACCTGCCTTACAAGCAGGCAGTCCTGAGTTCGATCCCCGGTACTGATAAAAAAGAAAAAGACAAAAAAAAAAAACAAACAAAAAAAACAGTTGCTACAAACAATGAAGTTATTCTGATTTTGGTTGAAGTTTAAAATTAAATGCCTCAAAGATATACCTGACAATATCTGTGGGGGAAAAAAAAATCCCAGATGTTATTACTTACTGCTGTTACCTTCAGTTTATCTAGAGAGGAGGAAGTCAACAGTTTGAATCATTGTGTATTTGGAAGTGTACTGTGTATGAAGTATGAAATCAACAATAACTGACGATAAAGTTGGCTGGCTACTGTATGAATAATCCCAGCACCGTGGGAGGCTGAGGCAGGAGGACTGCCACTGGAAACCCAGCCTGGGCAACTGAGCAAGTTAGCATGACCTTATCTCAGAATTTAAAAAAAATTTAAAGGGCTGAGGATGGAGCCCAGTACAAAGGCCTTGAGTCCAATCCCCAGTATTGAGCAGAAAAAGTTGGATACTGTGGAAGATTTGATAATATCATGGAATCTTAAACTAGGTCTAAAAAGTAGCAATTTCTTAAAACTGATGTTTTTGAAATACCAGAATAAATAATTATAGATTTAAATGTAAATGAGTAGTTTTGGTTAAAAAGCAGATTCTTCATAACTAAATACTGATCCAAAAAAAATGTTTCTCTTTTCTTTTCAGTAATGCAATATGGGAAAGGTAAATCATGTTATTATAGGTTCTTGACCAAAGGACAACAGTGGATTTGGCTTCAAACTCATTATTATATCACTTATCACCAGTGGAATTCAAGGCCAGAGTTTATCGTTTGCACACACACTGTAGTAAGGTAATAATTCTTTTAGAGAAATTCTGAAGTATGCTAACATCCTATAAAATGATTCTGACATTGTAATTTTTATTCATGACTTGTTCATTACAAAGTGACCCTTTTCCCAGTTTTTAATATATCTTTTCAATATATTATTTAAATGTACTTGTAGGCATTATATAGAGATGTAATACAGGTAAAGGTAAATATATACTTGAGATACTGGTTTTGTGTCTTACAGCAGAAGTTGCACTGTCCTTTATATACCAAACTTATCGTGCAGAGAGAAAACTGGAGTAGATGAACATACTCTTCCTTTGTGTTTTCTTAGTTTACCTATTATGTACTCATGGGGTATTTATAGTACCATATAAAACTTTGAGATACTGAGAAAATTGCAAACTGGATTAAGATAGTACCTTATTATAGAGATAGTTTAGATTTGTGTAGCACATAGAAAATAGTCTAGAATTTGTGATAACCAAGTGAGACACACAGTGAGCACTGAATTGTTGCCACTCTCCGGGTTTTTTGTTGTTATTTTTTGTTTTTGTTTTTGTGTGTGTTTGTTTGTTTATACTGGGAATCAAACTCAGGGTCCTGCTCTTGCTTAGCTGTGCCACTGAGCTGCATGCCGACACTCCTCAGTATTTTTATTCTGTTTTTTTTTTTTTTTTTTTTTTTTTTTTTGTGGTACCAGGAATCAAATAACCTTGCGCTTGCCAGGCAAATGCTTAAGCCAGTGAGCTAAATCCCATTCCTTAGTGTTTTTAAATAAGGGACCAAACACTAAAATTTGATTCTTTCTGTTTACAGTTATGCAGAAGTAAGGGCTGAAAGGCGACGAGAACTTGGCATTGAAGAGTCTCTTCCTGAGACAGCTGCTGACAAAGTATGTTTCTTAGTCTTTAAAAAAAAAAATTAATCATTTTAAAACACTGAACAATTGATAATTGTTTTTTAAATACTTTATTTTCTCAGTTGTGGCAAGGATATGATTATACTTTAATGCTTGTTTTTATTTTTTATTTAATATTTAAATTCTCATTTGCTTCTAAGAAAGAATTAAAGACCCTGACATTTAGTAATAATCAGGTGAGAGATAAATGTAATGTCAGATTAACAAGTACCATTTTTTCTGATCTATAACATTTTAGGCACTGGCTAGGTTTCTTTATGAATTATGAACTATGATTTACTCCCTGGTAGGGAATGTCCTCACTTTGAAAATACTGAAACTGACCCCCCCACAAAGATATGCTGGGAAATTATAATGGGAATTTGAACTGCTTCCTTTTTTTTATTTCCTGTGAAAATATTATTGGTTGTCTGTTGCTGTGTGCCAAATACTCCACAACAGTGATGTCAAACAGCACACATTTGTCATCTCATAGTTAATGTGGGTTAGGAATCTAGGCACGTTTTAGCTGGTCCCTGTGCTGGTGGATACATAATGAGGGCGACAGGAAAGGTATCATTGGGGACAAGAGCCATCTCACTCTTCAGCTGGGGCAGAATTTATTTCTGTCTCACAGCGATTATTGGCTCAATGTTTGTTTGCTTGTTTGTTTTTGTTGGCTCAATTTTGTTAATCATGGGCTGTTGAACTGAGGGCCTTGATTTCTTGATGACCAAAGGCCACCCTCCTTCCTTTCCAAATTACTCCTTCCAGCAGAGAAAATATGCAAGAAAACTCAGAAATAGAAAATGCCAGTAAAATGGGTATTGGTTTTGTTTTTTAAAATGAGTTAAATAATAGCTTAGAATGATGTCATGGAGAAGGAGAAATGATGGGAAAGAGTACTGAGAACAGTGTGCTGGAGTAGATGAGAAAATGTCAGACCCAATACGTAAGTGAAAAGATTGGATTTAGCTTGTGGGACAAAAGTTCAACCTCAGCAGGTTGACTCTCATTGACCTTCTCACTGACTTTGTGACCCCCTGAATTTACAAACTTCTTGCATCAAAAGTCAAAAGAATGATGTTTTATGACACATGAGGAGTATATTGCATTTAAATTCCACTGTTCATAAATAACATAGCCATACTTAACTGTTAACTATCACCTGTAAATTGCAGTTATGCTGCAACAGCAGAATTGAGCAGTTGTGACAGAGGCTGTATGGCCCACAAAGCCTAAAACTTTGAAAGAGTCATTATTACATAATGATTTAACTGATCTATAATTTATAGCAACCGGAGAAAAGGTAATGAAAATACATTTTCGCAATCACAGTCACTTTATGTCTTTTCTCCCTCTTGATCTAGCATAAACCCGTGTTTCATTATTGTAACCATGCATATATTTTCAGCTCCCTAGCTCTCTTCCTTCCCTTCACAAAATCTCAATGCTGATTAACCCAGCTTGTAGGTAGTAGGTAGAGTAATGGAAGCATCTAAGAGTACTGAGTGAAACCAGTTAAGTGTCAGCATAGGAAAGTTGCTAAAGGTTTGAGGAGAAAAACAAAAACAAAAAAGCTAAATAGTTATGTAGGAGAATAGGAAAGTGAATGTTCTAGGGAGTTACTGTCAGTTTGATAGGCAGTTTAAGAGCTGTACAGGATCAGGTATGAGATAGGTTAAAACAAATCTGGGTTTAACTGGCATTCAGATTCTGCTGAGCAAGTGTGATTGATAGAAATAGGAGGGATGAATTTGATGAGAGAGAATACAAGAATAAGAATATGCTTTGGAAAATGTAGAACCTATAATACAAGTTACACATCAAAGGAGTTTTAGAATTAAGATGCTAAAGGGAATGAGTAAGAAATACAAGAAATGGTCACAGAATAGGATATTTGTAATTGAGGTCGTAAAGGCTTCTTACTGATAACTCCTCAAGGATATGAGTAAGGATGAATGGCTGAGGACTGGTAGAAGTCAAGATCTTTGGAGGAGAAAACAGGGAAGAAAGGTTATGGTACCGAATGTGTGACTGTAGATAACTTCAGGATTTTTAATTAGAGGAGTACTGAGCTAAAATTTAATTTAGGTACTGAGCCAGGCGTGGTGGTTCATGCCTGTAATTCCAGCACTCGGGAGGCTGAGGCAGGAGGATCGTTGCAAGTTCGAGACCAGCCTGGGCTACAAAGTGAGTTCAAGGCCAGCCTGAACTACATAGTGGGACTCTGTCTCAAAAAAACAAAATAATAATGATAATAATAATAATAATTTAGATACTTGCTGGCAAGTGACCATAGTGTCAGTACATAACTGCCACAAGAGCTAATGTGTTACATAATATGGTAATGTGAATATTAGATCTCTGAGTTTGGGAAAAAGAGAGAAGTGAAATGATTGGAAAACATCAGTAGGACAGTAGGGGGATATCTCCTCTGCTTGTAGAGGAGGTGTGTAGTCTTATGAGCTGTGATAGAGAAAACAGACACCACTGAAGAGACCTACAAGGAAAGTGGTATCTTCTGATGAGATGTGGGCTTTGGTTTGAGCAAGGCATTGAAGGAGTGTGTATAGCCACGATTGAGCACTTTACTTGGGAATAAAGGGAGGCAAAGGTTTCAGAGGCTGGGAAGCAGTGAGAGATGGAGATAAATGAGGGTGTGGAGACCTGAATGGTCATTAGAGTAGAGAAGATAAGGCAATGAGTAACATCACTACTTTGTTTTTGTTTTGTTTTTGTTTTTATAGCATGAGTAATGCAAAGCAAGGCTGTCAGTTGAGAGAGACAGACAGGTTTAAGAACAGTGAAAAAGAAATGGGGTAATTGTGAAGAGTAGGACAGAGATGCTACCAAAAACATTTAAGAGTATTGATCCCCAGTACTGAAGCTGATGATCATTTTAGAGTAACTGCAGTTGTTCCCAGCAGGACCCTTAAACCAGGTGAGTTAGAAATACAGAGGTGTGTGGCTTAAAATGGCATTTTAATTTTTACTGTGAGAGGTACTGCAGTGTTTGTTGGCAAGACAGAGATTGAGTAATGTAGAGTTAAACAGATTACGGACATGAATATATTAGATCTCTAAGTTTGGGAAAAAGAGAAAAGTAAAATGAAAGCTGAGAAGCCAAGATAGGGTATTGCATGATTTATCCATAGATACTGAAATTTTAGCGAAAGACCAGAAAGGGAATAAAGATTTTTTGAGTAGTTAAATGCTAATTTCCAAAGGTGCTTGTAGTACTTTGTATGTAGTGTTATCTTTATTGTTTTTTTAAGATTCTCCTTTTTTTATGTGGTAGAGATACATATAACAAAATTCCATTTCAGGGGTACAGTCGAGAGGGGACATAAAAAGAATTAAGATATTTATGTATATGTACTAACTCCCCACAGTGAATATAATCATCATATATTGTAAACATGTACTAAAAATGAAGGTGTTGTTAATTGTCATTATGTGCATTCCCAGTGTTGTATACCTAACACTGCCGGTCTAAAACTTTTTAATCTTTCCAAAGTTTAACTCCATCCATATTTTAAAAAGCTCCTTATCCCCCTCTCCTTCAGCTTTGAGCAATCACATTTTACTTTGATTTTGAATTTGACTTCTCTATATAACTTCATAAAAGTGGAATTATACTGTATTTCTTTCATAACAGGATTATGTCACGACATAATGTTCTTTTGGTTCATCATGTTACATGTGTTGGAATTCTCCTTTTTTTAAAATTTTTATTTAAAGAGACTAAACAAAACAAAAAATAAGTTGAAATAATACATACGTTCAGAGAAAAAAATAAACAGTAAGAACTAATTGATGTTTACATATTGTTGTTTTGCAAATAGTTGTTCAGGGTACAAAAATGGAACATGTAAAGTGGGAATTCAAACAGTGAGACTGCAAACAGTTCTGTTCAACTGTCCAACAAAAACTTAATAACATGGTTTTCAATCCTATACACTTAAACATACATGCAGTTATCCATACCTTCATTTATGTTTAGATTAAACAAACTAAAGCAGGTTAAAATCACTCTGAACAAAAAATAATAGTATTGCTGGATTTCACATCATGACACTCCATGATCAGCACTGGGTAAGGTAGTGTATTTTTTAAAAAATTTAATTTAAAGAAAGACTAAACAAAACAGAAAACAAGAAGAAATAATACATAATTTCAAAGAAAAAAATAAACAGTAAGAAATCACTAGTTGATGATTACAGATTGTCTTCTTACAAATAGTTGTTCAAGATACTAAAGTGGAGCATATAAAGTGGGGATTCAAACAGATTGCAACCAGTTCTGTTCAACTATCCAATAAAAACTTAGAAATATGGTTATCAATCCTATACACTTAAACATACATGCAGTTATCTATATCTTCAATTATGTTGAGACTGAATAAACCCAAACAGGCTAATATCACTCTGAACAAAGAGTAATATTATTGCTGGGTTGCACATTATAACACTCCAGGATCAGCACTGGGTATTTTAGTGTCTCTTTTTCTTCAAAGTATCTGTTCATTTCATCATGTGTTATAAGATCAGTTCTCATAAACTGTTTATAGATTCTACACATGCATCAGTCTTAACATGTATTTCTGTCATTTCTATATTAGAGGGAGAAACAAAACAAAACATATTCCTATAAACACATGAAATGAAAAAAAACATATAAGACTGTTGTACAAAGAGTTCTACCATGGTTCCTGTGTTGTCTCTTGTTATCTCCAATAAATTTGGCTATATCATCAGACATAGTATAATTGAATATTTCAGTACATAACAGTATTAATAAAAACACAACTTTGTATATAGTATAGAACTTCAAAAACTGGCAGTTATCAAACCAGAATGTATATCATTGAGTCTTGTCATCTTCAGGGTAGTTGCCTATACTGTCAGACTTGGTACTATCAATCATAACAGTTTTGAATAAAATCTTCTCTGCCTGATTTCTGTTATGCTCTTTTTTTTTTGCATCAGTTGTCTGCTTATCCTCTTCATTCTGTTTTCTGTTCCATTCATTGAGGCCTCTCTGCCACTGTTCCTAGAGTCCTAGTACTTTTCTCTCTCTCGAATGCCCTGGAGTATTCTCTGTAGAGTTGGATTGGTGGTTGCAAATTTCCCAAGTTCCTCTTGGTTTTGGAAGCATCCTCTTTCTCCATTAATTTCTAGAGGTAGTTTAGCAGGGTATATCAATCTGGGCTGGAGGTTATTTTCTTTCAGAGCTTGGAATGTTTTGCTCTTCTTGACTTGATGGTTTGTGTTGAGAAGTCTGCTGCTATTCTGATGGGCATTCCTCTATAGGTTATCTGTTTCTTATCTCTAACAGCTTTTAATATTCTGTTCTTGTATTGAATTTCTGGGATCTTGATTATTATATGCCTTGGTGTAGCTCTGTTTTGGTTATAGGTGGCTGGAGTTCTATATACCTCATGTATCAGAATATCATTTCCTTTTCCTATGTTTGGGAAGTTTTCCTTAATTATTTCTGTGAATAGTTTTTGTAGTTCCTTTGTTTGTACCCCTGCTTCTTCTTTCACATTCTTTATTCTCAAGTTATAGATTGTTTTGTCATCATCTAGCCCTTTGTATTGTAACTGCTTATTTCCTTGTTATTATTAAAAATTTTTCTCTTTCATAATCCCACATTGCAAAATTGTCCTCCAGTATGGATAATCTATCCTTAGTTTCTTTCAAGCTGATTTGCCATCTTTCCATAGAGTTTTTAATTTCCTGGTAATCTCTTTGAATCTGCTTTGTGTATTCTATATTTTTGCATATTCTTCACCAAATGGTTCTCTCCTTTGTTTGAGTTCCTCCCTTTTTCCATCTGTGTCTGCTTGAGGGGTACTTAGTATCTCCTTTATTAATCTTCTTATATCTTGCTTTACTTAATATTTCCCTTTTGAACTCGTCTATGAGGTCCTGAATATATCTCTTTATGTCCACTGGCACTGTGTCTGATATTGTGTGTTTGCTGTTCTCATTCTCCTTTGTATTTGCCTGTCCTGGGTCCATGTTCTCAGGGTTGGGACCTGGGAACTTTTTGTTGTTGCTTCCTCTTCCCATCTTGTTTGCTTCTTCCGGGAGGCCCCAGTTTGTTCTTTGTTGTTTACAATTCTTCTGAAGCATGCTGGCTAGATGACCCTTCACACTGCCATGTGCTAGTGAGTTGCAGACAGGGACAGTGTATGCTAGCCCCTCCCCTCCGGATCAGTCAAGCTGCTGTGGCCTGCACTGTATTACTTTGTGCTGCCTCCCTTCCGGATAGGTGGTGGTGGAGGCGGGGCCAGGGGCGGGGGCAGCCGGTGGGCGTGGAGTTGCTCCACTCCTCCATCCTCCAGAGGGCCCAAGGCGACAGGTCTCGCAGCCGGAGGCGCCAGTGGCAAAGGAGTAGGGATCATTCAAGCTGTTTTGGCGTGCACTGTCAGTCAAACTTCAGGGATTTCACTGGGTTAGTGTGGTTAGTGTGTACCACCGCTGTAGGGACTTGAATTCAAATAACCTCAGAATTCTCCTTTTTTAAAACTAAGTAATGTTCAATTCTGTGTTTGTGTATACCACATTTTGCTTATTTGTTCACCTGTCAACAGATTGTTGGGTTAGTTTTACTTCTTTGGTCATTCTGAGTAATATGATGATGAATACTGCTACACAGATAGCTGTTTTGAGTTCCTGCTTTCCATTCTTGTGGGCATAAACTTACATATCATAATTCTGTGTTTAGTTTTAGGGTAACTGCTATACCACTTTCCATAGCTGCTAAACTCTTTTTACCCCAAGACACAAGAGTTTTAGTTTCTGCACATTCTTGACAATACAAGTTATTTTCTATTTTTGTTTTGTTTTTGTTTACATGATAGCCATTCTGATAGGTGTGAGGTCATATCTCATTGTTGTTATGACTTACATTTCTCTTAACAGTGAGATCGAGCATCTTTTCATACAAGAGTTTTATAGTTGTAGTTGTTAATAGGTCTTTGATCTGTTTTGAGTTAATTTTTGTATATGGTATAAGATATTCCAGTCCTTCTGCTGTTCTTTTAAAATACAAAATGAAGCCAGAACTTTTGTACTATAAAAAATAAATTTTTATATCTTTACCTGTAATGTACCTTTGCCTTATTAAAGGTAAAAATTGAACTTCTAAATTTTTTATTGTAGGGGCTGGGGATTTAGCTCAGCGGCATAAGCACCTTCCTTGCAAGCAGGCAGTCGGGAATTCGATCCCTAGTACCGATAAAAACAAAAAAAAATTTTTTTTTATTGTATTTTTTGGTTAGCAAGAAATACTACTAATTTGAGATCTCTAAACTGAACCACTAGAAAAAGTTTATTTTTCTCTGTCTCTTAGAGCCAAGATTCTGGATCTGATAATCGAATAAATACAGTCAGTCTCAAGGAAGCATTAGAAAGGTTTGATCGTAGCCCAACCCCTTCTGCCTCCTCTCGGAGTTCAAGAAAATCATCTCACACAGCAGTCTCAGACCCTTCCTGTGAGTACTTTAGCTTGAAAGTAGACTTCTGTTAAACAGAGTACTTCTGAATTATTTAACTCAGATCAGAATATTTAATAAAATACTTCTTTAAAATTATAATTAAAATAAATTGTAACGAAATTACAAATTTTTAAAATTTTGAAGTGTATCAGCCTTCCCACTAGGAGGCAGATTGTTTGTCTTTAACAAAGAATTAATGTTATCACATGATCTATAAAACATGTAACTGGTAATGTTATTTTTAACCATTCCTCAAAAAGAAAGTGGAAATCTTTTTTACTATAGAGCCTGTTTGCTTTATGAAAGTTTTTTAGGGTCTGATTTTTATGAAGACTTGCATAGTAATCACTAAGTTACATTTGGCCCCCCCATATTTGTGGGTCTGTGTCTGGAGAATCAACTGACTGTAGATAGAAAGTGTTCCAAAAATACTACTTCCTTACTAAACAGGTACAGGCTATTTTTCTTGTCATTATTCCCTTAACCAATACAGTATAATATTTATTTATGTTGTCTTAGGAATTATTTAAGAATCTAGAGATGACTTGAAAGAGGATGTGTATAGGTTATATGCAAATACTGTGCCATTTTATGTAAGGTCATTGGGCATTTTGGTGAATGGTCCTGGAACCAATTTATTATAAATATTATATATATATACCAATTTATTTTATGTGTATATATATATATATAGAGAGAGAGAGAGAGAGAAAGACTAAGACAGAGAGAGAGAGGGAAGAACTATAGTTACTATATTTATATTGTCTTTAAAATTTTTCTTTGTTCTTAAAAGATAGAATTAAAATTAATCTTATAATGATGTATTTTACCTTTATTGAAATTAGGTTAGAAAACATTTTTATTCACTGCAGATTTTGAGAGTAGTCTTTGAAACTTGTGTTTATAAGTATTAATGTTATTCTGTTTTTGTTGGCTAATTTCAGCAACACCAACAAAGATCCCAACAGATACTAGCACTCCTCCCAGACAGCATTTACCAACTCATGAAAAGATGGCACAAAGGAGATCATCATTTAGTAGTCAGGTAAGCTATTTAGTTAATATTCTTTGAGGGAAACAAAGATTGATTAAAAGGGAAAAATTACCTAAATCTTAATCAATTCATTGATTTATTATTGCTTTCCAGTAAAAGCCCAAATAGTTGATACATGATACTTCCTCGGTGTCTCTTATTTGTGAAGTAGTTGTCATATAGTTAACTTATTTTTACTGTTTTTCAAATAAAATGTTTTAGATTTTCTGTGTGAAAAACTGATGATTGAGAGCTTTTTTTATATCTTAAATTCAAATAATATTTGTCTTTTGTTAAGTCAGCCACCTTTTATTTAGAGCTTATTCTCTGTACTGTGAGAGATCCACTTGAAGATAAAACATATATAAGGAACACATCCTTCCAGGGTCAAGAGGGAGACATAGCTGTACACAGCTAACAAAAGTGTGAAGTAAATTCTAAGTTTGGTGATAAACATAGCGTGTCTCTATTTCTGGTGGATGTATGAGAATGAACATTACTTCAGTAATTTCAGTTATTTATTTTGCTTCTAGTCCGTAAATTCCCAGTCTGTTGGTCCATCATTAACACAGCCATTGATGTCTCAAGCTGCAAATTTACCAATTCCACAAGGCATGTCTCAGGTATTTTTTGTTTGTTTGTTTTAGTTGAGTATTTACAAATGATAAATTGCTTTTCAGCTGAAGTGAATAGTTTTATGCATAGTTGTGTGTAGTATTTTTATATGTATAGTTATAGATGTAGTAGATCTTAAATAGAGACATTTAGAATAACTAGGGACATTTTTATTTGCAGTAGTGGTTATAGAGTACCACTGAACTTTTGTGGACATGGACCAGGGATATTTAAGCATATTTTTGGATGCATGGCATTTTTTACAACTAAGGAGAATCCTGCTTAATGTTACCATAACAAATCCCCTTCTTTTGAAGAAAAAAGACATGAAGATATTAAAGATAAAATAAAACAGTTCATTTTATTCTTTCTATAGATATTGGAAGAATTAACTTTATTCATTTATTCATGCATATGTGATGTATTGACAATATGTGTTGTAAATAGCTATATTAAAAGGCAATGAGGAAACAACACATGACTATTATACAGTGTTATATAGTCTGTGCACATCATATGAACCTTTAGTGCAGCCTGGTAAAGTGAAGGAAAACTTCTCAGGAAAATAGGATTTGCCTTGCCCGAGTTACAGAGAAAGCCTAAGTACAGAAATCAGGACAAAAAAGGTGAATAAATCCAAAAGTAATTCTTTGATTACAGCTTCTCAACTTGTGATTATAACTCATTCAGTTCCTCCAATACATTAACAGTACTGCTGAGTAGTAATGAACATACGCTCACAAAAAGTCTGGCTGCTTTTACTCTTGTTTCTGGCGGTCCTAGGGATCGAGGGCGGGGCCTTGTACACACCAGGAAAGTGCTCTGCACTGAGCTACATTCCTAGCTCCTCTCACTGCTTCATTTGGCACTGAATATCTAAACTTTGTAATCCTAATTTCTAGAAATAAATTACCAGGTAAGGTTTTATACAAGCATTGTATTATTAAATATATTTAGGTACAAAAGTTTTTAATCAGCGTGAAGCATCAACTTCTAATTATTTTGACAGAAATTTTATGTAAATATTTAGACATATTTTCAGTATTATCTTTAACCTTGAGATACTGATTAATATTTTCAGTATTGTTCTTTAACCTTGGGATACTGATTAAACATTTCTTAACATTTTATAGGGGATACTTTTGAACACTTTGCTTCTTTGTTGTTTTCTGTTAAGATCTTGTGTTCTGTGTTTATTTCTATTTTCTTATTTCTACTTAATAGAAATCCTTTAAATGGTGACAACATTTACCTGTAGGTTCAGATAATGTTACTTAGAAGGCCAGATAGTCAAGGCACTGATTTAAAATATTTTCTGAAGCTCACTGGAATAAAACTGCCTTATTTCAATTCAGAACTCACGATTTATATACTTTGAAAACTTTGTATACTCTGTATCCTTAATACAAACTTCTGAAGATAGAATTAAAAATCATGAGGGAATGATCTCACTTTAGGTGCAGTTCAGTGTAAACTATTTAAGATAGATTTCCAATAAAATGAAACTCCTTCAACTCTTATACTGTGTCATACACTTAATGAATAGAAAATCTGCCCAAAACTATACATCAGGAAAAGAAAAACTTGCATAAATATTTTAATTCTAAATTTACTGAAAAATCATGAGATTAATACAAGTTATCTTTAGCCTCTACAGTTACAATAGGTGCTCAAAGTGATGGCCATTAGCTTCCAGGTATTTATTAGAAGAGTGCATTGTTGAAGTGCATATATTTTTTGGCAGGCTCTGTATTTATGAAAATAATTAAATGAGCCTGTGTAGACTTCAGAATGAATCACCAAATGGGGCTAAATTACATGCTATAGGACATAGAGAAATAACAAGGGAAACCCAGGAAGTAGAATAACTTTGTTTTCATTCATGATTCATTCATTGATTCATTCATAATTCCTTAGTCTTTATTTTTTTTTTAACTTTTTATCGGTACCGGGGATCGAACTCACAACGGCCTGCTTGCAAGGCAGGTGCTTATGCTGCTGAGCTAAATCCCCAGCCCCAATTCCTTAGTCTTTAAAAGCCCATGTTTCAAACTTTTGAAGACAGTATCAGCTGAAAATATGAGTAAAAATAATAATGTTCGTTATCTGTTAAGTTTTTGTAACTTTGCATAATTCTTTTTATGTATATATAGAAGACATTTAGGGATGACAGGATGTGATATGAATTAATTCCAGGTTCAGGCTATATTTTCATTTGTTAAAAAGTAGAAATTGAAAATAAGAGGTTAAGTAACCTGTTGTAATAAGTGATTGAACCCCATAGCATGAGCTTAAGTCTTCTGACTTAAAGATGTAATCAGTCAAGGGCCAGTCAGAAATCAAAAGTGTATCAGAAATTTGAAGAGAGATACTATGGAAAATTACTGAGCTTTAATAAAAGAAAGAGAATTTAAAGAATATAGAAAGAGGAAATGTAAACAGAAGGTACTTAACTGTAAATCAAAAGGAGCGTGCCTAAGGAAGGGACAGACATGGAAGCACCCCAGCTTCTTAGTCACTTGTCTCCTATGCCAGGCTCGATTTAGATCTCACTGTGGCCTAGTGTTAAACAGGAGCTCGCTGAGGTACTACAAACGATGGCTGGAGAGCAGGAAAGCCACCTGCCAAGGACTGGTAAAACGCCGAGGAGAGGTGCCTACTGCAATGTCACTGAGACTTACTTAGAAAGCTGCCTGCCTGAGTGCTGAGGAGACTCACTGCAAAACTGCCCACTGGCACCCCTGACATTCGAATAAGAAGGAAGTGACTGTAACTGGGAAGATAAGCACCTTTCTTGACAGTATCTCTCCAGCGCCATCTGCTGCCTTAACTTTGTGCCTGCTGTCAAAGAAGAAGTGTTTTGAGTTCCAGATCTAGGATCCCAAAGCAGATCAGAGATGGGCAGGTTAGAAGCTGAAAGGCAGAGCAATAGCGGCCTGAACTGTTAACTCGTGCTATACTGCTTATTTCCATATGGCACTAGGTGACGCTTTTCTTCATGTGTTGTTTCAGTTTCAGTTTTCAGCTCAGTTGGGAGCCATGCAGCATCTGAAAGACCAGTTGGAGCAACGGACACGCATGATAGAGGCCAATATTCATCGGCAACAGGAAGAACTAAGGAAGATTCAAGAACAGCTTCAAATGGTCCATGGTCAAGGGCTCCAGGTAAGTTACTTGTACATTTATCCCTTTTGCATTTTGGTTTTCTAGAAAATTGATTAAACGTGTTTGTATTTTGTATATGAATTTTACAAAATACTCGGCTTAAGTTTGATATTTTCATACATATTTTGATTTCATCCATCACTTGCTCTCCTTCATTACTTCTAACGCATTCTTTTCCTTTAGAAATTGGTTTTTTAAAACATGAAAATTAGAAGTATTTCCATTAGTTCAGTTCAGTAAATACTTACTGGTTACCTGCATAACTCATTCCTAAGAATAGTTCCACTAGCATCCTTATTTTTTAAGATTAATTAAGTCCTAATTTTGGTAAGCTCAAATTTATAATATAAAATTTATATTTTACAAAAGCTTTGAGGTACAGACTTTATAATAGTCAATAAATTTCCACTAGGTATGATTCATATTCATCCCACTTAGTAAACCAAGAAACCACTGAGGAGAAATAAAAACTACTTTTGTCTACTGTCAAAAATGATGAATGATGGATGATACAAACCTGCCAATCCACGGACCTCTGAATAGTGCTGAATTGTGCGTGCTGACAGTTGGGAACATGCTGACATTAGGATGGCTGGCAGAATGAAGTTTCATAATCTATTCATTAATTATTGCTAATTCTCCACTCAAGTTATAGTCTTTTTATTTGCCTTTTAAACTTAATTTGAAACTTCATTTTGCTTACTTTGTTTTAACGTTGTCACTATTTTTAAACTACAAAAGTCATTTAGGGCTGGGGAGATAGCTCAGAGGAGGAGTCTTGCCTAAGATGCTCTAGGCCAATTTTAATTCCCAGTGCTACCAAAACATTAAATATAATCTTTATTTTCAAAGATGTTTTTGCAACAGTCAAATCCTGGACTGAATTTTGGTTCTGTTCAACTTTCTTCTGGAAACTCGTCTAGTATCCAGCAAGGCCAGGTTGTAAATATGCAAGGCCAGCTTGTTCCTGCTAACCAGCTTCAAAGTGGAATGAGTGCTGGACATATTGGTACAAGTCAGCACCTGATGCAACAACAGACTTTACAAAATACATCAACTCAGGTAATGTTGTCAGGTACAGTTGGCTGTGGAGTAGTGTCCAGTGATTGAAATATTATACTAGTATAAAACAAAAATAAAGCTTTAATACTGTCTTCTAAAATTTCATAGTAATTAGAGTACATAATACTGAAATTCTGAGCTGGGCATGGTGGCACATACCTGAAATCCCAGCGCTTGAGAGCCTGAGAGAGGAGGATTGCCATGAGTTTGAGACCAACCTGTGCTACATAGTGAATTCAAGGCCAATCTGGACTAGAGCACAAGACCTTTTCTCAAAAATCTTAAAAAAAAAACTGGTAAAATATCTTTTTGAGAAATTATATTAGTGTTAAATATTGTCAATATTTTGACATTTAAAATATGACAATCTGTTGAAGGATCTAATAATTATAATGGGCCCTTACAATTTATAGTCTCCTCCTTTATGTTAAGAAGTTACGACTTACAAATGAAGTGGACCAGGAAACATGTCACCACATGTGCAGAATACCCTGGAGGTGAGGAGAACAGTGATGGTTTCACAAATTCACAGCAAGGGCATAATTCATGTTCTGCTGCCCCGCAGCTTGAGCCAGGGGATGCACATGCAGCACTGCCCCATGTGTCACTTGTACCACCAGCTCTACAAGCCACATGGTGGGACAGTCATTGCATGTGCCACCAGTGGGTGTGTGTCAATAAATATTGCAGAAAATTCTGCTAATTACTGTACATCTGTGGCTGCAAATGAAAAATACAAAAATACCTAGTCATCAGTCACTGCTTTGGGCATTTAATAGAAATCCTCTGTGTATATCTTCTGTTATCCCTATTAAGGTCACACTCCTTTTAGAATTATAGCTTCCCTTGCAGCAAGGCATTCGAGACTAATTCATTCTCAGTTATTACACATCATTTCTTGTTTTTGTGTTGTTCTATTTGTAGGAGAGGAGAGATTTTTTTTTGGCTCAAAAGTTGCTCCTATGGGATTAGAGTTCTCTCAAAGTAATATATCCTGGGACTGTTTCACTGTTAGGTCAGCAGTTGTTTAAACTATGAATGGTGGGAGCAAACTTTACAAATAACTTTGTATTATTAATCTTTCTCTAAAACCTTCTCTTTTCTAGCAGAGTCAACTGAGTGGGCACAGTCAGCAAACATCTCTTCCCAGTCAGACCCAGAGCACTCTTACAGGCCCACTGTATAACACTATGGTGATTTCTCAGCCTGCAACCGGGAGCATGGTCCAGATTCCATCCAGTATGTCCCAGAACAGCACCCAGGGTGCTGCAGTAACTACATTCACTCAGGAAAGACAGATAAGGTAGTTGCCATAATTCATTTCTCATTTTCAGAATTGTAAAGTGGTTGGTTAAAAGCAGTAATCTATATGGGAATGTAGCTCAGTGGCACAAGATCTGCCTGGCAACTACAAGGTCGTAAGTTCAATTCCTGGTACCAAAGAAAAAGAAAGAAATAGCAGTAATCAGGGGCTAGGGATATATTTCAGTATTTAAGCACTTACCTAGCATGCACAGTCTTGAATTCAGTTCCCAGCACTGCCAAACTATTCATACACTTCTCAGTGGGCAGTTGGACAGTTCACGTACTTATTTGTTTAAGATGACAGAGAAATTGGCACTTGGTACTTCTGTGACTAAATACTTGTTAGAGCTTTCTTTATATGAAAATTTTTATGTATTTGTGTTTTGTTGTTTGGGGAGTTTTTTGCACTTAAGCATCTGAAGTATATAAAACAGCATTTTATTTCAAGATCTGGTATGGATTAAAAGCATTTATTTTAGGGGCTGGGACTTTAGCTCAGTGATATAGGACTTAACTAGCATGCAGGAGGCCCAGGGTTCATGTACCATTCTTACTGTACTAAGTTTACTATTGTTATGGACTTGAACAGTTAGTGCTGTAGGTATAGTATGCTACAGTGTATCTCATTTTCCTTGCTAAGATGGCCAATGTTGGAAACAAACTTCATCTCACAGGAAAGGCAAACTAAAATAATATTTTATAAACAATATTATGTTATAAACATCTTATAAGATAAAACTTTAATGTAAATTTTTCTGTAAACAGGGTTTTAAAAATTACCTTATAATTGCCTTAAGTGCCCACATGGTAAATGGACTGTGTCCCTGATATTGAGTTGTTTCATAAAATGAAAAAGTTCTTATTTGTCTAAAAAATTTTAATTATAATAAAATATCATACAACAAAAATTAACACATTAACCTTTTAACCTTCATTTTTGTGGTATTACTCACGCAGTTGTTACTATCACCCTACCCACCTCCAGACAGAAGCTTCATACTTCATACCCATTTAAAGTTCCCAAGCCCTCCCAACCACATGTCCTTAATAACCCTCATTCTATTTTCTATGTATTTGAATTTGACTGCTTTGGGTACTTCAGATAGTTGGAATCACATAGTATTTGTCTTTTTGTTACTGGCTTATTTCACTTAGCATAGCGTTCTAAGCTCATCCAAGTTGTAGCATTGTCAGAACCCCCTTCCTTTTAAGGTAGAATGATCCACCATTATCATGGGCATATCCTGGGCTCTGCATACCCATTCTGTCAGTAGATACTTTGGTAGTTTCTACCATTTGGTTATTATGAATAAATGCTGCCATGAGTGTGTGTTTACAGGTATCTGAGTTCCTGCTCTCATTTCTTTCATGTATTTACAGAAGTGAATTGCTTCATAAGGTGATTTTTTTAATTTTTGAGGAACTGCCACATAGTTTTCCATAGTGGTTGAACCATTTCACATTCTGACCAGCAGAGTACAGAGGCTCCAGTTTTTCCGTATCTTTGTCGGCACTGGGTATTTCTTCCGTATTTTTCTATAAAAGCCATCTTGATGGGTATAAAGTAATTTCTCCTTGTGGTTTTGGTTTGTATTTCCCTAATGATTAGTGATATTAGTACCTTTTCACATGTTTATTGGCCATTTGTGTATCTGTTTCATAGAGAAATACCTACCCAAGCTTGACCTATATCAGATTTGTAAATGGCTGTAACAACTGTAACAACTCTACATGTGTTACAATTATGTTACAATAATTAGATGTGCTAGATACATGATTTGCAAACATTTTCTCCCATTAGTAGGTTATTTTTTTACTTTATTGATTTTGTCCTTTGTTGCCCGACTTTTTAATTTGATGCAGTCTATATCTGTTTTGTCACTAGTATTTTTGTTGTCAATGATATCATTGCCCTGTCTTTTGTCAAGAAATTTTTCTCCTGTTTAAAGAGTTTATAGCTTTAGCTCTTATGTTTAGATTAATTTTGCATTATGAATGAATATGACACGAGTGCAACTTCATTATTTTGAGTATCAGTGTTTTAAAAGTTCAGTTTTGTTAGTCTTGTTTTTGTTGTCATATATTAATTTGGCTACATACATATTTTGTTTTGCTGATATCCCAAAGGGAATCTTTTAAAGACATAAAGAAATAAAGAAGTAAAATGAAAATGTGTAACTTTTACAAAACTAAACTAGAATTATCACTGGGTATTATTTTAGATAAATGTTCAAATCACTGCCTTTTATATTGTTTACTTTGTACTTTTGACTTTCTTTTCTTTCTTTCCTCTAACAGATTTTCTCAAGGTCAGCAACTTGTGACCAAATTAGTGACTGCTCCGGTGGCTTGTGGGGCAGTCATGGTACCTAGTACTATGCTCATGGGTCAGGTCGTGACTGCCTATCCGACTTTCGCTACACAACAGCAGCAGGCGCAGACATTGTCGGTAACGCAGCAGCAGCAGCAGCAGCAGCAGCAGCAGCAGCAGCAGCAGCAGCAGAGTTCCCAGGAGCAGCAGCTTCCTTCAGTTCAGCAACCATCTCAGGCTCAGCTGACCCAACAACCACAGCAGTTTTTACAGGTACTCAATCCACTGAAGAAGCTGTCTGCAACCCATTGATTTATAACAGGCTTAGGGATTAAATGAATAGGTGTGCACCTGATCTGAAAAATCCATAAAAACTTATTATACATTTAAATGTCTGTAAGATAGAGAGCTTATCCTGATTAGCTATTTTTCTCTCTCTTGTTGAGTGTTTGGAAGACTCTTAGCCCTGCCATGAACATAACCTGTTACCTGAATTGCTGAGTAGAGTGAGTGGTCCACTGCCTAAACGGCACTTTATATAAGAGACTTTTATTCTAGGCCTGAGTTTGTGCAATTGGAGGAAAGACCTCTTTCTCCCTTTTTAGGTGTCCATCAAACTACTTTGTATAAGGCAGAGTTACCAAGAAGGATTTCTGTATTAGCATAGGTCAGTGATGGCGAACCTTTCAGAGACCAAGTGCCCAAACTGCAACCCAAACCCATTTATCACAAAGTGCCAACACTGCAGTTAAACCTGAATGCTAAGAGTTTTATTTAGAAAAAAAACAGCTGTTATCCAGTGCTTAGTTGCTGGGATGACTTGGCTCATGTGCTGACAGAGAGGGCTCTGCATGCCCGCTACAGGGGCATGTGCCCTAGGTTTGTCTCACTTGGCAAGGGGGTTTTCTTAAATTATTTGGTTGGATTCAAACTTACTAGTCTTTTTTTCTTCTAAATTAATGTCAGAGGAGAAACACAGTGAAAGTGTAGTTAATATTCTAGTTAAAAGTTGGGCTGTGTGAAGTGTGTATCATAGTTAAAAGATGGGCTGTAAAGTCAGGGTGCCCTGAGATTGAGCCACTGGTACATCACATACTGTGACTTTTTAAAAAATTTTTTTTTATTCAAAGAGAAAAACAAAAGAGTAAAAGGGTACAAGTAATACAGAATTTCAAAAAAATAAACAGTAAGAAATCAATAGTTAATAGATTACATATTGTCAGATATAGTTGTTCAAATTATAAAATTAAAGCATACAAAGTGGACATTCAAACAGTTCTGTTCAATGATCCAACAAAAACTTAGTAATATGGTTTTCTATCTTACACACTTAAATATAAATGCAGTTATATCCTTTAGAGCACTTTCTTTTCCTCTGTTTTTTACAATAACAATGGGTTTTATTACTCCCACAGTTCTTATTACTTTTTTTGAAGAGAATAAAACCAAATGTGACAAAACAAAACAGAGTCAGTCAAAACAAAAGGATGGGCAAAGTACATAATGTAAAAACAATACCAGGTGATCAACAATGGTTACCATAATGCCTCTTGCTATCTTAAAAAGAGTTGCCTATATCATCAGTTGCCTATATAATAAAATTGAACAAAACAGTACAGAACAAAACCAATAAAACCTAAACTTTGGAGACCTTACAGGACTTCAAAAGAAGATAATAGTAAAACCAGAATGGGCATCAGAGTGAATCTTACTGCCTTCAAAGTAGTTGCCTATACCCTCAAATTTGAGACTATCAAACAAAACAGAATAGAGTAAAATCAGTCCAAACAAGATGGTGAGACCAATACAGGTTCAAATCAAGTTAATAGGAAAACAAAGAAGGTACTATAATATATCCTGCTATTTTTTAATTTATTTTTTCCTTAATTAAAAAAATAATAAAATTAATTTTTAAAAAAGGGAAAAAAAGGGGAGGTTGAGATGAAAGGGGACATAACAACACAGGTCAGAACAGAGCAATTTAAGCAACATAGTGCTTAACCTTAACCAGATAACCTGACATAATAGTAGTTACCATAGTGTCTCTTTCCTTGAAATATTTGAGTATAACTTCGTATACTATAGCATCAAACATATCAAGACAGTGTGAAACCATTGGAGAGAATGAAAGTATTACAGGGTATTTAGAACCAGCTATCAGAAAACCAACAGTGGTTTCTATATTATCTCTTAGGCCATTTAAACTTGATAAATTTCTTTTTGGGGGGAGGTTGAGACTGGGTTTTGCTCTACAGTTCAGGCTACCTTTGAACTCTGTTTGCAGCCCAGCCTGGCTTTGAACTCCCAGTGATCCTGCTGCCTCATCCTTCTGAATGCTGGGATCACAGGCATCCCACTATGCCCAGTTTATAAAGTACAAGCGATAGTAGACTAATTCTCATGGATTAAAGAGACATGGAAATTGTTGAGCTTAGTATAAGACACATTGCCCTATGTCATTTCTGACCACCCTGTTGATGAATGTAATAGATACTTAGATTGACCAAGAGCAGGCACACACACCCTGGGTGGTTAGCAAAGAAATTAACGAAACCAATTTGTGGACCTCAGTGTGTTTTCTAGAAAATCCCATTGTTTCCTTTCAGGCCTAGCTGGAGCAGTTTTGACTGCAGGTAGCACCGATTTGTGCACTGGGCTTGCATCATCAATTTCAGTTGTACAACATGTGATATAATTAGGAGATTCAGTGTAATATGGTATAATATATTCAAGCATAAATACACTCTTAATTATCACTCTGGTTTTCTTTTCTTTTCTTTTTTTTTTTTTTTTTTTTTTTTTTTTTGGTTTGGGGCTCACTGTGTATCTCAGGCTGGCCTTGAACTCACGGCAGTTCTGCCTCAGTGCTAGAACTACGGGATTATGTCACCATGCCCCACCTGCTCTGCTATTCTAATCCAAATATAATCCTTATTCTAGTCATTTGAAACACAGAGTAGTTGCCCAAATATCTCTTCAAGTGTCATAGTGTCTTAGAGGAAATATAGCCAGTAAGAATCAGCAGAATCTTAAAGCAGAAGACTTGCCTAAAGACCTAGCTTCTGATCTTCCTTTTATCAAGTAAGAAACACCCCTTAAAAGAAAAACATTCTCTTCTTCCATACTTCTTCCAAAAAAGTATCCCAAAGACAGGAAACCCATAAGGAAATAAGATAGACAATACTCTTCATAAATATATATTCACTGTGAGTATATTTACTGTATGTAGTTTGGTTTTCCTAATTGTTACCTCTGTTCCAAAGTGCATTTTATGATAACCCTATGAGGCTTATAAATATCCTGAGTTACTCTGCTGTGCAAACTTTTCCTAATAACACAAAAAGAAAACTCTGAAAGTCTTTGGCAAAGCTTAATGACCATTAAGATTTAGGGCCTGTTTTTTGTTGGTTGGTTGGTTGGTTGGTATGCATGTGTACATATTCTTCACACATATTTACAAACATCATCCTCTCCAGTTCCATTTTAAAATTGAGAACCTTGTGTTAAATATATTGTCTTGAAACGTACTTCTTTTAAAAAATCAACTTTCTTTTTTTCTGGAGTTTCAGATTAATGAACATAACAGAAGTAAAAATTTTGTGAAACCAAAGCAATCAGATAGTTTATAAATGGCAGAGCAGTACCAGGAATATAGCTAAGCAGCACAGTGCTTGCCTGGCAAATGTGAGGTCATGAGTTTGATTCCCGATACCTGAATACTAAATGGCAGAGCAAAACTAAAATACAGGGCTGTTCATACTGATCCTGGCCTTTTGTTTTGTTTTGTTTTTTGTGTGTGACATCACACTGCTACATAAAATACTTAAGCCTTCAACTTTGCCCATAGTTTTTATGGTGCTTTTAAGTCAATAACATTTAGTATTTATAAAATCCAATGTTGCAGACACTGTTATTCTTATGTGGTAAATGAAGAACCTGAGGTCTAAAGAAACAAAATGCTCAACCAGGTTACACATCTATGGCCTGGGCAACTGTAGTGTGAACCCACAATTTACTAACAGCCACTTTGCTAGCTATTCCCATAACCAGCAGGTGGACGTGGGTGCTCTAGTTTTACTCTGAAGCAGGACGATGGCCATGAATTTGAGGCCATCTTAGCCTACATAATGAGTTCAAGACCAGCCTGAACTACATAGTAAGACCTGTCACAACACAGAACTCCAGCCCAGATATTCCTTTGTAAAATAAGACTGTTATTCTTTCAAAAAGAGAGTCCCATAAGCATTTTCCAAAAGTCAGATCTTTAAAGGGGAAAAATTACAGTGGAAAAATGAGACTCAAAGGACCTTACTCCTGTAGACAACTTGAGCAAATGTTTTATAGACAGTATGATGGGGTAAAGTGATACTGCATAATCCATTTGTTTTTTAGGCTTCTCGGCTGCTCCATGGGAACCCTTCCACTCAGCTCATCCTCTCTGCTGCATTTCCACTACAACAGAGCGCCTTCCCTCAGTCACATCACCAGCAACACCAGTCCCAGCAACCGCAGCAACTTGGTCGTCATAGGACTGACAGTCTACCTGATCCTTCTAAGGTTCAGCCGCAGTAGCACACGTGCTTCCTCTCTGACACCCAGGGAGGAAGGGAATGGCCTAGAAAGATTTGCTCAGATGACCTGAGGACAGGAAGAAAAGTTCCAGCAGATTCATGCACTGCAGTTTTGAATGTTCTAGTTCTTGGATTAGTCGACAGGGGAAATGCTGCCTAGCGATACAGATGTACATTAAATACCAGCCAGCAGGGAAGATGATCAGAGAGATGTAGCCAATTCTGACAGTGTTTCAGTTGCCCACATGTTTTTGATGGAAAAGGAGTATATTGCCAAACATTAAGAAGCTCAGCTATGGAATGATCTTTAGCAAATGAAAAGGCACTAACAATGTTAGTAACTTCAAGTGGTTCTGTGCCTGTTACATAGTGTTACTGAGAACACATCACTGCCATGTTGGGTTTGCTTACAATGATGCCATGAAGATAGTCCCCGAGTCAAGTGTCCCCCTCCCTAACCCACTCCCTCTTCATGTAATGATGGGACTGTAATTATGTTCAGAATGTTGTGTGGGTTCAAATGTATGTACAGATACTGTAAAACTATGTATATGCCTGGATGAAGGAGAGAAAGCAAACCATTATGTGTGCTGCATGAAAGCATTAACTCTTATGAGTACATTTCACATTTCATTAGACTACCGCACCATGTACAAACTGATACATCAGCCTCTGTTTTTCTTTTTGTTTACAACATAGTAATATTCTACTCACTTTTCCGGGGCACAAGTCTTTTTGTTCATACTTTGGCTGTGATGTCACAGTTTGTTCAGTGAGGTATGATGTGCTGCTGGGAATGGATCTCTTCTTTTTTCAGGTTAAATTATTGATACAACAGGATTTTCAAGTTATTCATAAATATCCCTCATTTCATTATTTTTCAGTTACATTTGAAAATAGGATTTGCACTGCTTTTCTTTAGATGGTTAGAAGTTTGATTACATATTTTGATGAACTTCATAGTTGGAAATATTTATGTAAGTGGTTTTCAACAAGCCTGAAAGTAATTTCAAGAATGTTTCAGTTATAAGGATAAAGTTTGCACACAAAAGATTTAGGCACTTTTTAACATTCTCAATTGTGAGAATTTTAACTTTTAAGATTTGTTGGAATCTTTTTATTATCCTTCACAATTTCAATGCTTCTTTTAAGTCAGAAATGATTCAGGGTTATTTGAGGGGGGAAAAACCCATAGTGCCTTGATTTTAATTCAGGTGATAACTCACCATCTTGAACTTACTGTCTGGTTTCAGTCTCAGTTTTGAAACCTTAGTACATTTTTAACAGCATGTGGGTGTTCGTGTCATTATTCTCCTAAGTTCCTATGAAGACTGCTGTCTGTCTCTTAAACTGGAGGACAATAAATAAAATATGACAGCCTAATGCTATTAGTGATTAATGTAATCCCAGATAGTTTCCTAAATTAGTATCTTCCTTTAAAGCTAAATAATCACATGAGTAAAATTTGCTCAGTGTAAACTTGATATTCTTACAAAAAAGGCGTAAGAGCTGGGTATTTAGCTCAGTGGCATAAGCGCCTGCCTGGCAAGCGCACAATCATGAGTTTGATCCCTGGTACCAAAAAAAAAAAAAGGCATAAGAATTGGCTTTGCCTTCACTTCTACACCAGAATAATAACTCACATGCTTTCTAAACATGCACTAAGATTTCACCTGGCAGTATTACACTCTAAAGGTAATAAATTCCAACACAAGTTATATATATTGAAAAAGCATTTTTTAGATTTTATGGTACTAATAATGAAATTCACAACTAGAGAAGAAAAGATTAGGAAAATTCTTTATTCAAATATAGAAAACTATTACTGAGAAAAGGGAGAATAAGCATAAGAAATCAAAATTTACTTTAAAATGTATAGCAGAGTTGAGATTGTTAAGCAGAAAATGTTTTGAGCGATGCAAGGTAATGCAGACGCTAAGTCAACTCTTTTGTCTTCAAAGAGCTTTGCTATCATCCTTAAGGAATACACTTTGCTTTTCTATTAAAAAACAAAAAACAAGACTATTTCTGGTCAGAATTAAATTAGAAAATGGCCAAAGAATATTGGTACCTACTCTTCTATAAAAGGAGTGTGACTAGATCCCAGGCAGTAATTAACATATCATGAGAGTGTTTTCCTAGCGAGTGATTGCCCAGGAGATTCCCAGCAGTCCTGTGAGCACCAAGGAGAGCTGTCAGAACACGCGTACCGAGCACACAGAGATGCGCAAACTGACGGGAAATTCTGCAGCAGCATCTTTTCTTCCCTTCCAAACTGCCTTTCTCAACCTTTTGCCATTCCTTATACTGTGTATCTATCTGAGTTGTGCCTCATTTATTTATTGGCATTATCTAGTGAGAAGGATTTAGCAAACAAAAAGATATGGAGAAGCGTTGTATTAAGGCTTATCTTCTAAGTGTCATATCTACAAGAAAGATTGTGAACTGTGAACACTGTGTTTAACAAAAGCAAAGCTTAAGCCAAACCACAAAGTAAATAACTAAAAACCTACCCCTTCAAATAATTTTCAGCTTCACAGGTATCTGAGAAATTTAAACAGATTTTTTCTTTATAATCGTTGTTGTAGTTCACAGTTCATCTTTTGCCTGTGTGAAATTAATGTAGCTAGACTTAAAAAAGCAATTAGCTGCTTTTCCTTTGCTGTCTGTGGAGTACGTTGAGTCTGTGGAGAAGCTAGTCAGCCTCCTGTAGCTTTGCTTTCCTCTTGCTTCCAGTAAATTTGGGTTACAAAATTGTCCCTGTCCGTATTCAGATGGAGAGTCAGCAGTTGCTTGCTCTTCATTTCTACAGCCAAAGTTGATTGAAATCCCAAATCTAAACCATAAGAAGATACTAAATAGGAGTACCTTTCTGCTTCTTGAAAGTTTTCTCCCTTCTTCTTAGCAACACTTTATTCTCGGTGGCACTTTTTTTAAAGGAAAAATGCTAGCTGCTGTACAGTAAGTTTCCTTGCTTTGGACTGCTAGGGCCTGAGATGACTCAGCATTACTTGACAAATATGAGACCAGCAAGGATTAACACAGTTGCTGCTGAGAACGGTGTCAAACCAGAATGTAGACACTTAGAAAGTACTCTTTCGTACTTTTTTTCTTTCTTTCCCTGAGTGGAAAACATGGGAGGAAAAGCAGATGTGGATGGGGCTAGCATGTAAGTAAATACTAGTTTGCAAACTCCATCCTAAATTCAGGGGGTAATTTTAGTGCTGTGCTCTGTTTTGTCATTTAGATGTGATTTAGAATTGTACTAGTAAATGAAAGGATGCCAGTAATTTGGATTGCTTGTTATAGTGCAAGTTTGGTAGGATTCTTAGATGTGCAATACAGTGTTTGGTCATTGCCTTAAAGCAGTCTCTTGACGTCAGGAGCACTGAAGCAGGCCAGCTCTATAAAGGGCATTGTACTGAAGGGAAATGAACCCTTGTTCAAGAAGCCTTAGAAAGGGACCCTTAAAATAGTAGTCTACACAGGTGGAAATTCTTTTCAACTGGATATTACTCCTTGTGTTGGAAAATGTTTTCACTATGTTGAGGCAAACTTTTAAGTGAAATGCAGATGGCATTTTACTTTTGTATTTCTTTTTTCTATTTCTTTGGTGATTGAAGGTTCATGAACATGTGTAAAACTCAATTCAAATCTATAACCTTTCCAACATCTGTGGCCCTGTTTTTAGTGCCACAGGCATCCACAGAAGGTATAAACACTGGATATTAATATTGCTGAGAGCATCTAGCCAGGAGTAAGCTGATTGAAACATTTCAGTGGTGAAGAAACAGCACAAAGGCACTTGCCATTTTAATAGTATAGTGATTGGAGGAGACCTTTTAAGTTTGTCTAGATTGGGTGAGCATTCTTCTAAAAGGAGCCTCTGAAGTAACTGCAAAGGAAAAGAGTTGACTATTTTTATAGCATATTTAATATATTTGTATGAGTACGTACACCCCTCCACACACCCCTTTTCTCATTTCCCGCCCCTTTGCCGTAGTCCTAGCATACCCTCATCCGCATGGGTAATGTGCCTATTGCCAGCCTACCAAAAGATAGTGCTGCTGCTTTTTGAGACAGGTGAGAAGAACAGAATCTCATGCCTGGGGATCCTTTATGGGAGATATAGCACACACTTAAAACAACATACCACAGTCTAAAAGCATCATTTTCAAATGTATCATGCACTTTATTGCAATTATTCATTTTGATACAGTTCATTATCTTAGGCATTAACTGTTTCTAAAGGATCCCCAAATCATCACTTAGGTGAAATTACAAAATGACATTTCTGAGAAATGTTTAGATCCAGTGAACCGTAGTAGGTTTATGGGAGTGATTTCAAGATAGCCAAATGAACTCTTTCGTTTTGAATGTGGTGGAGTCCAGAGATTGTAGATACCTAGCTCCATTTAAACACTATTGTAAACCTATCTTGCCTATTGTGTGGACACCAAAAGAGACCAATGAGCCTGTTTATTTTCAGAGGTCTAGGAAAATCGTATCCATGTGAGTAGATGTACAGAATTGATCTAAAGTGATTGGTAGTAATATTTTAGAATAATTTCAAGAATTACTGAGTATTTTAAACGTGTCCTGAAATGTTGGCATGTCATTTCAGCATTTCCATTGACTTGCTTTTGTAATACTTTTGCACAAAAAGGACAGATTTCTGACTAGTTTGGTTGAATTGGTCTTAATTTAATGTCTCCTGTGGAAACACTGGGGATAAATTATGTTGGTATAGCTATTAATTCAGGATATTTAAAAATGTTGAACAGATCACAAGAAATTAGGTGAACTTGGATATTTAAGAATTAAAATACTTTTTTTCCATGTGACTGTTTTTGCATTTTTTCCCCATTGTCATAACACTACATTCCTTGTTTTTCTTAATAATTTGCAGGCTTTGAGTACTTAGCAGTGTTTTGTAAGGTGCCTGGGTTTTCCCAGGGAAATGTTCTTTAGTAGGAATGGTTATATAGTTTCTGAAGAGACTATTAAGTGAAATTCTATCACCACCACCAGCAAACACTGAGGTGCTGCATTAAGTGACAATCAAAATAGTATTTATAAAAAAATTTAGAAAGTGGTTGAAAGAAGCACTTGCTTTGAAAGCAGTTCTCTGGTTTTCTTGAATAAAATGGCTAAATGTACTTATTTATATTTTTAAGTATTTTTGCATTCTTGTCTTGATGATTTTAGTGTTTTGTACTTTATTTGTGGTTTTGTTTTGCATCATCTTGTATTTGGAGAACTAACTCTGACTTGGGGCAGACTTGCCCATTTGCTGACCCTGCAAGGACAGTCTGAATCTGTCTCACATCAGGTTGACAATGGAGGACCCAAATCCAGACGCCCCTGCACTTTTCTCCTGTTCTCAACTCACCTAAGAAAAAAATTTTAAAAGGCAACTCCCTTTCAGCTCAGCTTCACATAACTCCAACTTTTTTCTGTCTTCACTTGCTGCCTTCTCTGTTTTATGGGCACTTTTTGTATGCCTACTTCCCCAACACAGCCAAAGGCCAGTATGACAGAACCAGTGTGGCACACGGCTGCCTCAAGTTTTGCCTATTTTGGAAAACGTTAATGAAACGGTCAGCATCTTGTAATGGCTGTCATCATGTCCACATTAAAGTCCTCATAAATCGAAGACTTATAAAAAGTTGGCTATATCTATACAGCTACAGTGTTCTTTTAAAAAAACCAAACTAAACCTCCATACATAGGCTGTCAATAAAGCAGTGCTTGAGCATTGAAACCTAGACGTTTGAGGATCCTTCATGCTCATACAGTAGAACATAATTCTCTTATTTCAGAGCTCCCAGAGTAGCTCTGGTCCCACAGGCTAGGTGAAGCGTATACACAAGGATCCCTCAGAAAATAAAACACATCAACCCCAGGTTAAATTTAATGATGTAAACAATGTCTGACTCTGAGGTGTTAGTGGGAGAAATGGTTTTCAGATATATGCATTTAAATCTGAGGAAACAAACTGTGACATCGTTTTAAGAAATGTATGTGTGTTCTAAGTTGGCCTGTACTGGTACGAGGTCACTGCTGGCAGTGGTTGTACCAGTAGTAATAAGTTAAAATGTAGGAAAAGCTGTTAATCTTCAGATATGTCATAACTAGACAATCATCTTCAAGCAAAAAATATATATACTGTCTAGGAAATGTCCTTTTTTGAAATGTCAGCCAGAACAGCTGTAATTTAAACCATTCTAGGACTATGTTGAAATCTGTTGTACTATGGTTTAAGTTGGGGAAAGTCCTCAATATGGCACTTTCATATTCACTCTGTAAAAATTGAAGCCCAAAGACAAGTTAAATCAGTGCTGTATTGAAGTTAGTGCAAAATAAGGAAGTTTTATCTTTATAAATTTTTAATTGTTAACATCAGTTGGTAGTTGTAAAAACATGCACCAAATTCTTTCTAATGTTCTGTGTGGTTCTTAATGTGCTGTTCGTCCTTACTGCTTGGTTCTTGGTTTTAAATTAAAATGTAGCTATAGCCCATCATTCTTCCTTCCAGAGTGTGGAGCTGTAAGTGGCTACTGATCTTGAGATAAGAACACCGTTTTCTTTTTTTCCTAAAGCAAACAATTGAAATCTAAATTAATTTACAAAACTTAAGCACTGGCATTTTTCAAGCATTATCTCCTGCCAAAATCCTAAATTGCATAGAAGCATGAGGGATAACGAATGGTTTTAACGGTGCTATATCTGGCTCTCCGATTTTCATGAGCTGCTTGGAAATAGTATATACAATATATGGATCATTTTATTACCAATTTAATATTGTCATTTTCACCTGGTGTTACCATTGATTATGCTTGTTTTTCAAAGCTATCTTTTGAGAAGAAAGTCAAAATGTGTTACTAGCCTACCTCCACTTGGGCCTCTTGCTGTATGATCTTTTCCAGGTTATGATGTGCATAGCTTTTAAAATACCTATGTACTATTACAATTCTCTTTTCCCATAGACTCTTGTAATGTATTCAGACCCTAAAATTATAGCAAAAGAGCCAAGCAGTAGTATTGTGGGGGTTTTTGTAAATGTAAAATACTTAGGTTCAGACTTTGTTTCCTTCAATTTTAAAAATAAAAGATACCTCAGTGCTATAATGTTTCTCAGTATCACCTACATTTCTCCAAAAGTAACACCTGCTTCATGTGGCACATAACTTGTAAGAATCACATTTTGGATTTTAAAGACTATTAAATATTTTAAAATCACTATCAAATGATATTTTCCTCTTTTATTCAGTAGTGAAGCCTAACTACATTAATAATTTCTACTGTGTAGCCTAGGTCTGAATTTGCAAATTCTCTAGTTTCATTCTGCTACAAGATTGTGGTATCTCAGAAAGCTGTGCTTGTTTTTCATGTACTAAGCTACTGTTGAGATCAGGCTCTGGGTACCCACTACTACTGGAACAAAGTATCCTTTCTGTTGTTAGAAAAGAAAATCAGTGATAACATCTAACCACAAAGAGTAAAGGCTGCACTGTGGGGACCCAGATTTCTCTTGAAAAGCTTTGTTGTAAGTCAGTCATGGACATTGTATTTTCCTATCCTGTAACACACTTTTATGGTAGAGAAATCCTTAAAAGGACCCTTTCTTCATAATGGGTATTACTGCTTACTGGATAGGACCTTCTAGTTGAGGCTACTTGTGGGTCTCTAGTGTCAGGTGTTCTCACAGTTGTGCAGTGCTGGGTGATTAACTGGGCTTTTCAGTTTCTTCAAATTACATTGTAGACCAGTCCTTTATTTACAGTAGCACAGTAAACCTGAATTGTTCTAGGTTTGTTAATATACTACATGTGGACGATTCTGTAGAAATCCTGTCCTAGGCTGTTTGATAGTGCTACCACATAAGCTCCCATAACAGGTTAGAAAAGAAAGCAGCTGTCTTCCCAGTTGGGTGGAGTAATGAGGTCCAAACATGCTTTAAATGACAGTGATCACCACTGACGTTGCCATGACAAAATGAGGCAACGTTAGCTAGCACAGTGCCACCCGGTCATTTAACACAACTGCAGGCTCTGGAACTCTACCCGAGTTTGACCTCCTGTTCTGCCATGCAGAACTGAACAAGTTTAGGGTTTATTGTTTCCATTTTAACCTTGTATCAGTACCCCTGCTGTACGTCACAGAAATGTGAGGTTTAAAGAGCCTAGAGAAAGCAAGAGGCTCCTGAAGAGCAACATAGCAGTTTTTACATCTTTAGAAACTGGCTTATAAATATTAATGTTGCCTTGATAAGTTTATAGAAAGTACGTTGTATAACACACAAGAAACAAGCACTGGTCATACCACTTTTATTTACATTTTATCTGTTACATTGTTTATTCAATATAGAAAAAATATGAATACATTCATAGTATTCTCTTTTAATTTGGTAATTCCATGTTGTCAAATATTGACTGCTTTTATATTGGGTGCCTACCCAATAAAAAAAGGAACAGTGAATCTCACAAACAGTTCTTGTTGCATTGTTTTACTGATATAATACTAATACCATATTTGACTTCTATTTTTTAAACAAAGAACCTAATTTAGAAAAGTCTCAAGATTAAACTACTGTTTTCCAAATTAAGGAAATATTTTTAGAAATGCAGATGAATTCAATTCCCAAGAAAAAATTTGAGGTCAGCATCTTAAGACACCTCAGTGGCCAAGGAAAAAGTATATACTCCTTATAAAGGGGTCATGCTAAAAGAAAATTAAGTGAAGACCCCAGTGCACCATGGTAGCAGACATACCAAACGAAGGAGTCCATAGCATCATTACCTTGGAAGTCCATACAATCATTACCACACTTAGAAGTCAGGCTTCTTTTAAAAATTCACTTTACATATATAATCAATGATCATTTTCCCGCACATGGTAATTCATTAAGTGGGTCGAACTCACAAATCAATGCTACAAAATACAGTATTTTCCATCACTTTTAGTTGTAGTATACACTATGTACAGCAAGATACTATCTTATACTAAATACAGATGAACAAATACTTCATTAAAAACCAGAATCAGGACTTATAAATAGTGCAGAAAATGCAAATGCCAAAAACACGATGCCTCCTATGATTGTCACTAGAAGAGAAGAGAAAAAAGTTAAGTAAGCCAAAGTTCTCCTTCATATACTCTGATTGTGTACAAAGAAAGTTCTGAGGAAGCCTGTGAAGGTGCCTACTGTTTAAATTCCAATCTAGTAAACTAACTTGGAAAAGGAGCACCATTCAGATAGCAAGGAACACAGCTCTCCTGACTCTGGGCAGGAAAAATCAGTTTCTCCTCTAGCACTGTTTTGGGAAAGACCAAGCTTATGTTAAACAGTGCTGTCAAGCAACAGAACTATAATTCATCTTACAACCAAATCACAAAAAAAAAATGCTCAATAACAAACTAACAGAGTTTAAACTGTAGGCCTCACAGTTACTTAAAGCTGCAGAGGACATTTTCAGCAGTGAGTACACACGCTTCCTGCCTGTGCTTCCAGGTTTGTCTTCTCATAACTCGACACTGTGATTGTTTTACATGATTAAAATCATGTTAGCAGAAAGCTACTATGGAGTTCAGTAATGCTTTTTGATGAATTTGTATTTTACTTGCTTATACACATGGAAAAGCAGCTGAATTCCAGTGATGGACAATATTTAGGGCCTCATAGAGGTGAGAACTAGACCCACTATACTTCAGAATTCAGAACCTAAAGGTAATACCCTAGTTTTAATCTCACAGTGACTAAAAAGAACAAAAGTTAGGAAAAATGTTTTTTAAAAAATCAAAAAATCTTACCGGTTCTGACAGAGATTTTTTGTGCTATCATTCTTCCTCCAATTACTGCCAATCCAGTGCATAAGCAGTGCCCCACTGTTCCACCCACAGCTACACCATACGGATCCTGGAGCAAACACAACTAGCATTAATTGGCTGATTTGAAACTAAAGTTGAACCTGTCCCTTGTGAAAAGTAACTGTTAAGCACCAAAAAATAGAGATCCATCACAAAGGTACAATTCTAAAATTTCAGGTGGACTCAACTTTATGAAAGTCGATAATAGCTGCTTGCAAGGATATATACCAGTTACATCTAGACAGTGAAGTAGAAAAAAAGGGAAAACTTGGCCATGTTTCATGAAAACAGAAACCCTGGCTCCTTATACTCTGTGCCCCACACCTTTCCCAAGTTCATCAAGAGGCAGGCCGCAGGGAAAAGACAGCCCTAAGGGATGAACAGTTGTTAGCAAATGCTCTCATTTTGTTTGGTGGGGAAGATTATGTGCTTAGGGAGGAGAAACAAAGGTCAGCGGGAAGATACAGCCAACTGCAGAGTACTCCAGGGTTTCTTCAGAAAACCAGTGAATAGGAAGAGCCCATCAAACAGCAGCTGTGCTCATGAAGGAATCAGAAGCTTGGAGTCTGGCCTTTGTTTGAGACACTTGATGGTTTTTATAAGGGCAGTACACCATGACAGATTTATGTTCTAAAGTCTAATGGAACAGAATGAACTGGAAGGAACAAGACTGGGTGGCAAGGCTAATACCCGACGTAATCCCAGCACTCAGGAGGCTGAGGCAGGAGGACTGCTCTGAGTTGAAGGCCAGCCTGGGCTACAAAGTGAGTTCAAGCCAGCCTAAACTGCAGAGCAAAATCCTGTCTCAAAAAAAGACAAAAAACAAGGCAAGATGACAGCTGTAGTCTCAATTGGGATGGGGGAGAGGCACACAGCCACAGATGAATTTGAGAATTAAGCCTTTTGATAAAAAAAGTGCCATGAAAGAATCAAGTCATATACTTTATGGATCTTACAGGAATTAAAAGTAGAAAAGCTCAAGTCATTCAAATTTAGTGTAAATAAGCTCCAGGTCTTAGTATAAGACCCCTTGAAGAGAATGCACAGAGGATGTTGGTGATGTAACGGTGGCCCCCAGAGAGCCAGAGCAAGCAGCAATGGCCGTGGTGAGCTCAAGTAAAGCAACATGCCTAGCGGGTCAGAGACAGGTCCTGTGCATTTAGTAAGCAGAAAGGAGCTGACCCCTAGAGCCCCAAGTCAGGCCCTTTGAGACTACAGAAAGGGGCTAATGTTGAGAACAAACCATGCATGCTAAAAATGTTCACAAAATTGGGCTGTGTGCCAAAGATTTTAAGTTATTTGGGGTAAGGGGAGATTTAGGAGCCAGAATATAGGAAGAAGAAAGGGACTGCCACTGAGATGGGGGTAGGACAGAAGGAGACTTCTCTATGTCAGGTAGAGGCCAGGCCAGCCAGCTGTGGCATGGTCAGCGTATAGGCACCGCCAGAAAACAGAAAGAAATGTAGTCTAGCTGGCTGCAGTGGCACACTACTATAATCCCAGCGCGATGGGAGGCTGAGGCAGGAGGACAGCAAGTTCAACCCCTGCCTGTTAAGATCATCTGTTAAGATCCTATCTCAAAATATAAAAAGAGAAGCTGAGGGTGTAGCTCCATGTAAAGGCCCTGGGTTCACTTCCTGGTAACACAAACACACACAAAGTTTTATTTGTATATTAGGACCTCTAAAATTGCTACTCTATTTGAAAATGATATTTGCAATACCACTAATTAAAATTAAATAGTTCCAGGGCTGGGGATTTAGCTCAGCGGCATAAGCGCCTGCTTTGGAAGCAGGCAGTCATGAGTTCGATCCCCGGTACCGATAAAAAGACAAAAAAAAAAAAAAAAAAAAAAAAAAAATTAAATAGTTCCTTTCATATAGGAGTCAGTCTTATTTTGCACACCGAATCCTAAAACAAAGATTTACTACATGGCAAATTTATTTGAAACCTCCACTGCTCTCCTAGTACCCACCCACTAACAAACATCTCAAAAGACCTAGGAGTATGAAATCTATTTTGGAATACTAAACTGTATTGGAAAGCAGAGATACAGCTGCAGGCTGAAATGGACTAAAACAAGTAATCTTAGAGGAGCAAAACCAGACTAACTCGGCTCTGTGAGCACACTGATCGTGTGGTACTGGTAATGTGGAAGGCTGGCCTACAGTGAGCGCTGGGCTGCGGACTGTGCTAGACGCCCTACAGTGTGCTACCATCTGCAACACAGGCAGACGCCATCTGCAGAAGGAGAGACATAGCAGGGGGTGGTGATGTGCTCACAGCAATAAAATTAAGCCCAGGCTTATGTGCTGTGCTACTACAACGCCGGAGACCAAGTGTCCCATCCAGACAGGCAGGAGCCTCCCAAGGGCCCTGCCCCCCAGGAGAGGATGCAGAGAAACAATGCTTTCACCAGCACAGTGCACCCGGCAGCACCAGCACCACCGCGGCCACTGAGTCACTTTTAAAGTCCCAGTTCTGGCATTTCAAAGCCAATAAAAGGCTAGAAATAAAGATCAGAAGGCACAACCGATTAAAATAACATTTTAAAAGTTTGTTCTCGGGTCTGGGGATTTAGCTCAGCGGCATAAGCACCTGCCTTGCAAGCAGGCAGTCCTGGGTTCGATCCCCGGTACCAATAAAAATAAAAAAAATAAAAGTTTGTTCTCTGGGACTCAAATGAAAAGTAGTTGCTTTTTATTTTTTCCCCAAAAGAACATTTTTGAGGCTTCTCTGACAAAACATCCTTTCCCAAGTTCGACCCTAAAAGGCTGATCTTTTAGACTGCCACATGTGTTATGATTTTTTAATGGTAGCCACTCCCAAGAATTTAAAAACTATTTTCATCTGATATAGCTGATATGAAACAGGAGTATTAGTTAAGATCAGAAGAGCATAAATAGTAGATACCACTTCTACTCCGTGGCAAATCTTTGTAAATTGGTATACTGTGACAGATACAGGACTTCAGGTAAAATAATACTCCCCTCAACAGAAAGGTTAGAAAATAAAAAAACAGCTGTCTTTTCAGTGACAGTCAACACCTTTGTACAAAATAAAGAGCTACATGGCAGACAGCTGCAGGCCAGTGCTGGTCCCACTACCAGCCAGCTTTGGCCCTCTCTCCAGCCAATCGCTCTGGGCCTTGGTTTCTTTATTGAGTAAGGCTAGAAGTAAAAGATCTGATGTCTCTTGGGTTTACTGCTCAGTATCTATTCTAGAGCTAAAGCTTATCAAAAAGGATGCTGAAGGGTGAATACATAAAATGTTACATGGAAGTATGTGAATAATTGAACCAGTTTTCCTCTATGTTTCTAAATTTCCACTTGATTGCAGTAAATATTTTTATAGGTAACCTGTGTGGCATTCAATTATTTCTTTAGCTGTAAGAAACAGAAGAGCCAAAAGTTAAACATTTCAAAAGGCCTTGGATACTTATCGTCTAACTGGCCTTTAATCAACAAGCATGTCAACAAAAGTTCTGAGAAAGAAGCCAAGTTAAGAACAGCCCCCCCCCCCCACCGCAACAGGAGAAAAAGCACAATTTCTACCTGTGAGAATTCTATCCGACTGCCAGCAGACACTGGAAAGCTAATTTAAGAGAGAGGCAAGATGAATAGATGCAAAAGCAGTTCACACAGGCAATAATCCTTTGGCCACTGACTGCAGTGTTAGCTCAGCAAAAGAATATTAATTATGTTTTAGTTTTAATACAAAATAGTCTCTCAAATGTCACTCACCTCTCTGGCCGCCAGAACGATTGTCGTGAGTTGAGAGCGATCTCCCCATTCTGCTAAGAATGTTAATGTAAGAGCTTGAACAAAAATTGGTGAGATAAAATGTAACCACTTTTTCTGAGGTATTGTTGCACTTGTACCCGCTTCAACATCTCCTGGACCATTTAGGAGTTTGGTTCGTTGAAACTAAAACAAAAAATGACATTAATTCTAGGATGAAAATCAAAATAGCACCCACACAAACAAAAACAACAACAATCACTAAATCTTAAAAGTATTTCAAAGAAACAAAACTTTTGTGAACCCAAACTCCCCCAGCCCTTTTGAACCACTAGCTCCCAAACAGCAACACATGCTATATTCTCAATGCTTCTGTTCATCTTCAACAAAATAAATGGTATTTACCAATCACTCACTGTCCTAGATGCCATTGAAGAAACATGTAAAATAACTACATACAGTTCCTGCTTTTCAGGAGCTCAGAATCAGCCTACTAAAGGAATTGTAAACAGCCACGTTCAGTGTTCAACTCTCTGCTTCCTTCCTCTACCACATTAACACTAAGCCAAAATCGTATCACAAATGAACAGAAACCAAATAAAATGCACTACTTTTGTGAAGTCCACATGTATCACTAGGATGTGGCCATTGAAAAGCCTCGAGAGTATTCCTCAGTGAATACCTCCGTGGCTCAGATATTTAACAATGCCATAACTTACTTCTTCATCTTTCTTCTTTAATTCTGCTTGAACTTCTTCCAATTCCTCTTGCCCCTCATCTGGACTCATTTTTAAGCCTTCCCGAAGCATTCGAATGCCGAAAATGGCAAATAATGCAGTTGAAATATAGTATGTGTACACTCTAGGGATGACTGTGGTGGCATAGCCAAACAAAACTGGAAGAAAACATGACAAACAGTGTATCTGGTTAGCTGGTGAGTACCACAACTAACTGAAGACACAGCTAACTTCAGAGAAATCATGGTTTCTACTGTTAATAGGAAAACAGTGCACACTAAAAACTATTATGTAATAACCTCAACGAATTCCACTTATTTCCCTCTAGCACTAATGAACCCTCAAGTCTAGCCAAGGTCCTGACTCCGTTTCCCAAGACATCAGCAGCCCACCTTCCACCAGATCTTTTGTAAAATACTGACCTCCCTTGTCACTTATGTCTTCAAGGCCTGGTACTTGGGGTAAGTTAGCTCTGATGCCCTTTTAAGGATTCCAAGATTTTATAATTTAGAAACCAAACCACGTCCACATGTAGATCCATATTCATCACAGATCTTTTAATTATAAATTCTATTGCAGTGATGGTAAACCTTTTCAAAACTTTCAGTGATAGCAAACAGGCGGCTGCAGTGCGCATGCCATGGGTCTGCTACCGTTGTTCCACAGTAACGAGTCATGACAAGACTTTCGGACAGCATGATTCAAACTTCTCCTTCTTGATTACTTAAAAATGTATTCTGAAATTTCAAATTTCTTATACATATGTGTTTATACACACAAACACAATGCAGGCATGTCTTTTTTAGTTCCAAAAGGCCAAGAAATGAAGACATCTCAGTAACAATGAGCCCACATTACACCTACAGCTTGGGTTCAAATACCACTTTCCACTAACAACTCCTCAGAAAAATGGCCAATTCCAAGACTGGGCAGAGATTCAAGATGAACCTGCAATATCTTGTTACACTGGAACACAAACGATAGGAGCGTATCACAAGGGGCAGTTAGCAAGGCTGCCATGGGCCAAATCCGAGACAATGCAGTCTACAAAACAGGCTAATAATTAGTTAAAAACTGCTGAAAAAAAGAATTGAGTAAATAGACAAATGGGACAGGAAAAAAATTCTGTACAACAGAATGCCAGAGCTCACTAGAAAATGTGGAGTAGGTATGGAAGTTGTAATTTTCACAAGCACTGATCAAAGACTGATTACAGAAGAATCATGCTAAATCTACAGGGAGTGAAGGATTTCATTTAAAAAGTACAACCTGGCTCTTAACAATTTATGTCCTGAAACCACTTGCTGTCTACTAAATTCTAGAATATATACCAAATTCCAATATAATTAGCCAAATGTGTCAAGGCCTCAATACCGTACACCATGCTTCCCCCTTAACAAACTCACAGGGCTGGGGCTGCACTCACCTGATAAGCACGTCATGAGGGCCAAGGCAAGCATAGCTCCAGCCAGCACAGTCAGACGGTTATAACGCATTGCCATGATGGCTGCAATGAAAAACGTCTTGTCACCCAGTTCAGATACAATGATAACGGATATGGCAGCAATAAATGCATGAATAAACCCTAAATTAGTCTGAGTAGCTGGATCTTCTTTATTGGCATGAACTGGGGCAACTGGTGTAGATCCTTTCTGAAATAAAAACAAATAATTTTATCAGTTACTTTTTGAAAAAAACAAAAACATTCAAATTCTCTTCTTTTGGATGTTATTTAAAATTAGGGTTTTGGGGGCTGGGGATTTAGCTCAGCGGCATAAGTGCCTGCCTTGCAAGCAGGCAGTCATGAGTTCGATCCCCGGTACCGGTAAAAACGAAAAAGACAAAAAAATAAATAAAATAAAATTAGGGTTTTTGTCATGATCATACTGTCTAATCACTTTGAAACATGGTAAGAACAGTTATCTATGACAGAGGTCACTCTATGTAGACATATAATTCTCTAAAACAATTTAAAAGAAATGTAGGCAGGGCATGGAATCCCAGCATTTTGGGAGAATAAGGCAAGAGGACTGCAAGTTTGACTCTGGCCTGGGAAACTGAGTGAAACCCTGTCTCAGAATATAAAAATGGTGAAGAATATAGCTCAGTGCTAACACTCTGGGTTCAATGCTCAGTACTGAAGAAAAAAAAGAGAGCGTGAGACTAGCTATACCCATTAGGTTACTTACTTTTTTCTTGCCCAGATTAAGGAGGGAAAGATTTATTTAGCTCACAGTTTGTGGAAGTTTCAGTTCATAATCAGCTGTCATAGATAACTGCTCTTACTGTGTTTCAAAATGATTAGACAGCATGATCATGACAAAATCTGCAAGGCAGAGAGATATGGCACAGAGGCAACCAGTCTTGGGGGCAGAAAACAGCAAAAACAAAAGCAAAAAGGGAAGGGCATGAAGAGGAGTCTGTTTCTGTCCCTTTTACTGTACCTAGGCCACCTACCTAGGTGGGTATAGCACCCCCACCACCCATAAGTGCAGTACTGGACCATGAATCAATCAAAGTCTAGAAGCCTGCCCCATGATTGTAGGAGGCTTTGGGAGGACATCCAGACACAAACCATAACATCCATACGTTAAAATCACCTTACTCTAAAGTATTTGTTATCTGAGACTTAGTTTTCTACTATGTGTCATTCAAATTTTTATTAGTAACTTGGGTGGAAGATTCAGGATTTATCAAACATCTTCAAGTGATCCGAAGCTGAGAGAAATATCATTAAGGACTTAGCTCTCAGGAGCTACCAAGAGTTAGCTCTAGCTAAGATTTAATATAACTGGATTTAGGAGTGGTAATACAATGAATTTTTAAAAATACCCCAGAAGGTAATGACATAACAGAATCTTGAGTGGTACTAAGATGAAAATGTGACAAAGCTCCAATGGCAAAAAAGCACTGTTGTTTATAGTGTGAGTGACAAGCCCCCCAGTATTTGGTGCCACTCAGCCCTTTGCCACTCTGAACTCTCAGCTGTGAGGAAGATTCTATGACCAGGGTTTGGCAACCTACTGCTGAGGCCAAATCCAGCCTGTCTGGATGAATATATTCAACAGTTTTACAATATTGTAAGAAAAAGTCAGGGGAGGGGAGTGGTGGGAAGACAAGAACCATAACATGAGGGAGGAAAGGAAGGGTTAACAGGAAGATTACACACCAGAGATCGTACATAACCAGCACAACCATAACCTGCAAAACTTAAAATATTTATTCTGTCTGGCTCATTAATAAAAAAAAATAAAGTTTGCTGGTTCTGACTCTAAAACAATCATGAGAGACCAGGAAGGATAGGCTATCTTTGTCTAGTAACTGGGAAAGTCTGTATGAGTCTCCGTGCTCTGTAAGGCCCCAGAGGTCAGACTAAAAGGAGAAGCCCTAAAGTGGCTGCCAGAGAAGTAAACGCCCTTTTTCAAGAGAAGAAACTGCCACTCCCCGGAAATGGGCTACACACTGCCCTCAACATAGTGACTATGTCACTGGCAGATGCATAGTGATGTTTGAGCTTTAATTATTACAACTACAGGGGAAACTGATGGCATCTGGTGGGTAGAAATGCTGCTAAATATCTACAAAACCACCACAATGAAGAATTCGGGGGGGGGGTCAAGAAAGGTCACTGGCTAGGTAAGTCACTGCTAAACATTAAAAGTTCACCTTAAAGACCTATAAATCTCTAGAAGCCTAGGAGATTAAAAAAATGCCTCAAACAGAACCCACTTTATTTGGGGGAGGGTTAAAAAATAGTATGTGTTACAAAGGCCCAGCCAGTGATGTCAAGGAGAAAAGTAAAATCCTAAACATGTACTGTGCAAGTAGGTCATTGTTCAACACTGAATCTTAACCTCAAAGCATCAGGGAGAATTGACACTGCTCGGACTAGACCTCTAAGGACAGAGGCAATGTAATGACCGAGACACTCTCGGCAGGTGCTGCTGGCTCAGCAAGGGCCCCCAGAGCTCCGATCACCGGTTTTTTTCTACCTATGCTGATAGTCTTTACATCCACGCTCCCTTCTCCCCCAGGAGATTCTAAGCTTGAAGCATCCTAAAGACAAAGTTTTCAACAAGGTTACTGTAACATAGTCTCCTTCTAATTAAGCTTATATAAAGAAACTTCATTGTTAAGACTCAATCTAAAATCCAAGGAAATTAGGGCTGAGTATATACCATTTATGATCAATTGGCTCCAACTTCAAAAAGTGAATAATAAAAGCAAGCCATAATAGGATCAAAACTATATATTTTCATGATTTTGTAACTTCTAATCATAAAACTTTGGCTACATTTCTCTGTTTCCCTGTCAAACATAGAGGACAAAATACTTTGCATACTTTTTAAGTATGCAAAGTAACAAAAAAAAAACTACATAAAGTTCTCCTATATTGAGAACACAAGAAAATTCAACATGTAGTTAGTCCTAAAGAGCAACTAACCATGGTGATAAAAACTGAAGAAAAAAGTATCATGGTACTGTTAAGTTACATTTTTTAAAAAACTAAAATAATAACATGTCCCTGGCTGCCTTGAACCACTCACGGTACATACATGTCTGTCCCATCAGGCGGTTTGTACCACTGGTGATACAAACAGATCTAATCACTTTTATTGATGGCTTTACTAATAAAATTAATGAAAGTTCACCCAATGGGATGGTCATGCATATACTACTGGTAGCTCAACCTATCCACCTGTAAGATACATGAATTATGGCCCAGTCTGAACACGTTACTAGGTCATAAAATAATCAATTACCATTTGTTTACTGCTCACAATGTGCAAGAATTGCCTCTGTCTACTCTTACCTACACAGTGGCAAAGTAGTGTAGTTAAATTCACAGGCTCTGCAGTCAGACTGCCTGAGTCCCCCTCCAAGGAATTATCAGTTACTCTGCCATCTTGGGCCAGCAAGCAAATTCTTCCATGAATCAAGTTCATGTATAAAATGAGACAGCCCTACTCCTTAGGATTGTGGTAATGCTTAAATTGAGTATAAGGCCTTAGGATACACAAAAAACACTCAGTTTTTATAGTACTATATACAACCAGCTTACTAATCTTCTTAAAATTATTAAAATATTGTATCACTGCTTAAGAAACTACAAGGATCATTTTACATCTAAAATGTAATTCTAAATACTTACTTTTGGTTAGCCATCCACATTTCCCACCTAATTACACACAAGTTCCCAAAATGCACATCCTTTCCATAATCCCCCTAATTCATTCTGATTCCTCAAGAACTCCAGGAGAATCTCGAGCAAGGCCTACTCTAGTAATTTCAGCACTTGGTGAGCCTTCCTCATCTAAAACAGAAGTGAAGCATACGGCGGGTAATGAGTCAGGACAGACACATGACCCAAACAAAATATGTAAAGCAAAACACCCGAGAGCTGATCTTTTCACATAAATGTAAGGCTCCCAGTTGTAAGACACAAAATAAAAATGACTATCAATAGGAACCTATTAAATGGCAAATCCATGTAATAAAATATTATGGAACTAAAAGAGTAAGCATGCTTTAAATACACCAATATGGAAAAATCATTAAGCTATTTTAAGCTTAATATACCCTAGCATGGTGACACAGGAGAAGTCCTTAAAATTCTGAGTATGAGACATAAACATGATTAAGACACTGCAATTAGTAACAGGGCAGAGAATGATAAATACCAGCTACTGAACTACCCAAATCAGTAACAAGACCAAAGTTGAGCAAATTAGGGAAGAAAAATTATGGACCTGATGGAAAAAAAATCAATAGGCCTTTAAAAGGAATGAAGGCAATCAAAAATGGCAATGAGGTTTCTTCCCAAGTTGGCTGAAACATTACTACTCTTAAAGTACATGAGGAGAGGAATACAAACAAAACAATTTGGTTTCAGATAAGTTCAATTTGGGGTAACAGAAAGCAATTCCAATGAGGGTTGCCAAGAGGTGATCAGAAGTGGACCGCTGAAAACCTGGCCAGGACAGTCTCAAGGTATGTATTGGGCTGCTGCAGCCTAAATCTGCTACATCACTGCAAGCAGAGATTTCCACTGGAGAAGGTGAAGCGGTAAAACTCAAAAACTGAGCTGATAAAATGAAGCAAAAAGGCTGTGGAGCAAAAACAGAACAGAAGCAAATCTTACAGCTCCCATCTTGAATCACCTCCATCCTCAGGTTGATCACAAGCAGCAGTAGTATACACGGCTGTTTACGCAGCTTGTTTCGTTTGGTGTCAGGCAGTCCTCTCAACGTTCATGCTATCTCCAAATCTGCCTCCCTTCATGCTCTCAGAGTAAAGGTCTCGCTATCACGCCCCCAGACTTTTTCGTTAGCTCCCCCCATCACCAGGGACGTGCCTTTTTGTTTCTTACTCCCAGGTACTTCTGTCATTACTTGGAGCCAAGCTTCATTTTTAACCCTTTGGGGATAATGTTATAGTTAAACCACTTCTGTTTCCAAAAAGGGTGGTAGTGTCCACATTACTGCTCTCTCACCGTCCTGACGACAGTCCTTTAGGGATGTGAGTCCAAAACCACAATACCTTCCATTTCAAATATGGACGTTCTAGTCATATCCTGAATCTGTCTCTTCTCTGAATCACTTGCCGACTTCACCTCTTAATACTGTGTGCCAAATCTAAAGAAAAGTATTCA